GGCCGCGGGCCCAATCCGTCCTTCACTGCCATGGTGTTTTAGCCCGACACGGTCCTTGGACTCCAGCTTGGACCGAAGCGGTGCAGAACGAAGGCCGGCTCCAGGAGGACACGAGCAGGGTGGCAGTTGGCAGTGCAGAAACGTAGGAAAAGTCAAGGTTTGGAGCTAGTTTCTAGTCGGTTCAGAAAGTGACGTTTGGCAGTCTGGGATACGGGCCGCGGGCCCAATCCATCCTTCACTGCCGTGGTGTTTTAGCCATGCGACACGGTCCTTGGACTCCAGCTTGGACCGAAGCGGTGCAGAACGAAAGCCGGCTCCAGGAGGACACGAGCAGGGTGGCAGTTGGCAGTGCAGAAACGCAGGAAAAGTCAAGGTTTGGAGCTAGTTTCTAGTCGGTTCAGAAAGTGACGTTTGGCAGTCTGGGATACGGGCCGCGGGCCCAATCCATCCTTCACTGCCGTGGTGTTTTAGCCCTGCGACACGGTCCTTGGACTCCAGCTTGGACCGAAGCGGTGCAGAACGAAAGCCGGCTCCAGGAGGACACGACAGGGTGGCAGTTGGCAGTGCAGAAACGCAGGAAAAGTCAAGGTTTGGAGCTAGTTTCTAGTCGGTTCAGAAAGTGACGTTTGGCAGTCTGGGATACGGGCCGCGGGCCCAATCCGTCCTTCACTGCCATGGTGTTTTAGCCCTGCGACACGGTCCTTGGACTCCAGCTTGGACCGAAGCGGTGCAGAACGAAAGCCGGCTCCAGGAGGACACGAGCAGGGTGGCAGTTGGCAGTGCAGAAACGCAGGAAAAGTCAAGGTTTGGAGCTAGTTTCTAGTCGGTTCAGAAAGTGACGTTTGGCAGTCTGGGATACGGGCCGCGGGCCCAATCCGTCCTTCACTGCCATGGTGTTTTAGCCCTGCGACACGGTCCTTGGACTCCAGCTTGGGCCGAAGCGGTGCAGAACGAAAGCCGGCTCCAGGAGGACACGAGCAGGGTGGCAGTTGGCAGTGCAGAAACGCAGGAAAAGTCAAGGTTTGGAGCTAGTTCCTAGTCGGTTCAGAAAGTGACGTTTGGCAGTCTGGGATACGGGCCGCGGGCCCAATCCGTCCTTCACTGCCACGGTCCTTGGACTCCAGCTTAGACCGAAGCGGTGCAGAACGAAACCGGCTCCAGGAGGACACGAGCAGGGTGGCAGTTGGCAGTGCAGAAACGCAGGAAAAGTCAAGGTTTGGAGCTAGTTTCTAGTCGGTTCAGAAAGTGACGTTTGGCAGTCTGGGATACGGGCCGCGGGCCCAATCCGTCCTTCACTGCCATGGTGTTTTTAGCCCTGCGACACGGTCCTTGGACTCCAGCTTGGACCGAAGCGGTGCAGAACGAAAGCCGGCTCCAGGAGGACACGAGCAGGGTGGCAGTTGGCAGTGCAGTGTCGTCTCGGGTCTCTTTAGGATGCCATTTAAAGTTTCATACTGCGGTTACGAACGGGGGCTTCGGGTATGGGTCTTAAGTGCTAGAGCAACCCTTTAGGTCCCCAAGACACCTGCCCAATGACGAAAGCTCCTATTTCTTGAGCCATGAAAAAGTGTCAGAGCACATAGTTGTGCGTGTCATCCTGCAGGGGTCCATGCTGCTTGCATGTGCACAGTGCCAAACGCACATACAAATGGTTTGTTTAGGTCAGTTTCTGGTTTCTTTAGGGTTCATTTCATGCTTACGACACAGAGGCAGGCATGACCCTCCAGTGTCCAGGGGTCGGCGGCAGAGGGCGTAGCCCTTTAATAATTAACATGCAGTATATGATATAAACACGGGTACATATGCATTTATTTTTGGAACCTAAGAGGTGGAGGTAGAAAGTGTAAAGATGATGGATCTGCAGCTCCCAGATCGTCTGATTGGTGGCTTCAATCTGCCATTCCAAATAGGTGCTGGAACACGCCAAATGTTTGAAACCAACCAGCCAGTGACATCAGGTACAATCAAAACTGGATACCAACACACACATATATATATATTTATACATATATTTATACATATATATATTTATACATATATTTATACATATATATATATATTTATACATATATTTATACATATATATATATATTTATACATATATATATATACATATATATATATGTATATATATATACACCTATAAATAGAGTATTATAATCATATACTTACATACAGTACATACGCAATCATATGCATATGATTTTGCATTTAATTTTCAATACATACAATCATCATAGCTATCAATCACACAGGATATTTGTCCAGCCAGCAAGAACGCACCACGCAAACAAACATACACATATATCATCATTTGTTTGTGTATGACTGTGTATGTTTATCGGTGCACAGCAGGGGGTGGCTTTACCAAATGGTTCCATATCTCCACTATGTCCCTAATGATTCACCATGATTCATCATGGTGAACCGCATTAAATCACGAAGTTTGATGTACAGTTCCAAATATAAGTGGATAATTACCCATAGTTATAGGGGCCCATATCCCAACTTATGGGGTTAAAATCACCATGGTCATCGCCACTTCTAACCTCAACTGGATCCCTTTCAGTAGCCCAGCGTTACATCATAAATCCCATGAAATCCCATGAAATCAAATGAAACGAAACCATGAAATCCCATTATAATCCCACTAAATCATAGTAAATCCTCCAAAATATATCCCGGTTCTGTCAGTTTCAGGCCAAGTTTCATCTCAGAGGGCCACATGCGAAAGTAGCCAGCTAGGAGCATAGCCGCGTCCCAGGAGCATTTCGCGGAATCGCCGATGATCAGCATGTGACCTCCCTTGGCCTTGGCTCTTCGAGCGTTTCCAACGGGAGGACTACTATGACACAGCCGTTTTTCGGATGGTGAAATTGCAAAAAACAGTCACCTATGTATTGTACTGTATCTATGTCTGTATGTATTGTATACTGTACTGTATGGTCTGGTATGGTCTGGCATGGTATGTATATATATATATATATGTACATATCTATATTTATATTATATCTATACCAAAAGCAAATTAATATATATATACACATAACAATATATTATAAACATATATGATCATGATCATATATCATATATCATATATCATATATCATATATGTATATGTATATGTATATGTATATATGGGCCTATCGGTACAAACACACAGACACACACACACATGTCATAACTGTGATATTTAAAAATAGTTATATTCATATATCAACTATAATGTATCATACTGTCATGATACTGGCACCCGCCAGTAGCTCATGATCTCCCCTGGCCCATTCTGCATGCGTAGCACGTCACGTTCAATTGCTCGCAAAGTCGAAGCCTCAGTTCAACATTTTAGGTTTTTGTCTTGTTTCGTCTTACTGTGCTAGACTTCAGTCGGGTCTAGTGTTGAAAATATTCTCATTATGTTTCGATGTTTGTTTTCTGAGGTGCAGCTCCTGCCAAGATTTGTGGGCTCTTCTTAGACCATCTTAGACCTATGGAGGGTATTTGAAGATCTTTCGAGCGAGACTGGAAAAAAGGTCTGCTGAGCCTGCTGTCATTTAGCCGGATAAGCCAAGGCACACTTCATCATCTTCCAAAGATGCCAGTGTTTCTGTTGCCTCTGGATGAGGTAGTGAAATTGCACCAGGAATGCAGCCATTGCCTGCCCCCGAAACCCATCAGAAAGTCACCATGCCATGGCATGAAGCTCGGAACGCGGCCCAGTCCAACTGGCCATCAGCGGGATGCCTGGCTGCAACCCTGCCTTGATTTCGCACATCGATGAAGGTGTAGGAGGCTTCCTTGTGCCAACCTCTCAGGTCAACACAAATCCGTTGTGCGTGTGGAGCGTGTGTTTTACCATTGGGTTGTGTCAACACGGGGAGATTCCAAAATCATGGTAAATTGCGAAATGATGGGAAATTGGGAGGTTCCATAATCATTCATAACCATGACAGAAATTTGGATATTCCCGAATCATGAAAAAATATGAACAACTTGGATTTTTGGAGCTCCACCCAATCCATGGGTGAGCTCCTGAATTCCTGATCAAAAAAACGCCATGCCCTGATTTGTTTATACTGTATAGTATGTATGCTGTCATCATATCGATACACATTGGCACTATATATACGTATTGGTAATCATATGCATACATAGGTAAAAATAGTATGTATTATATACACTTATATGTTATATACCGGGAGAACGTGTTTGGTCGCCCCAATGCAGTTGAACACGAACATTATTAAATATTAGGGGGCTTGTGAAACGTGCACAACTTCTGTGAAACGTGCGCAACTTCTGTGAAACGTGCGCAACTGCTGGGAAACGTGTGCAACATCTCTGACACGTGCACAACATCTCTGAAACGTGCACATATAGAATACTTGAAAACACTGGGTGGGGGCGGTGAAACACCTTATGCCCATATATATATATATATATATATATCTCTCTCTCTTTCTCTCTCTCTCTCTCTTTCTCTCTCTCTCTCTGTTTCAGAGAAATGAATCCACAGGAATCCTGCAAAGCTTCAGCCGAAGGGCCAATTGCCTGGCTTGCTTCTACAGATCGTGGCTCTCCCTGCGAGCTTCTCGGCAGCTTTTCCTCAGCTGCTGAGCATTTCCCAATCTTGGGACATGAATCAGTATAAATACATCATTTCTTAGTCTTGGCATCTTTGGTGACAGAATGGTGTACGCGGTAGTCTTATGCAGTCTCGGGGTTCCAGACCAAGATTGAATATTATTGACGTGCAATTGATGATCACTTACAGTAAGCTTCTTGTGCCAAGTTTCCAGCGCTTTCACATTCTTGCCACGAACATCCCATCCAGTGATCTCATTTACCTGGCTTGGCAGGGCCAGTGAGATGTAGTTGTGGATAGCTCTGCAACCTTGAGCTGATTGGTGCCTCATGATGTTTTAACTTCTCCAAATCATCGCAGCCAATGAGGCTTCATTATTGCTAATAGGATTGGGAATCAACAGTTGTTGAACCACCTTCATGACTACTTCATAACTACCAGCTTCAAACTATTACAGACTCATAACATGGCATAAAGATTGGCTACACCTCGCTCAATCCACAAGACCGTCTACTTTGTGAAAGGCTTGACTCCTCAGGCGCGATACAAAGCTGTCGGACAACAGCAAACTACCAAATTCCAACAAAGCATTGTAAGAGCTCGTTATCTGAACTAAATGTGATCCGCCTCTTGACCGAAGAATGATATTATGGACCGTCTGGACCTTGGCCTGCTATCATCGTGACTTGGTGCCATTCCGGCACAGGTTTTCCCAACCAAATGATACAGCACTTGAACCAAACAACTTTTTTTTTTTCATCTTCGAATTCCTTGCAGAATTTTGTGGCCATGAACACCAGGCAGCAGCCCATCTGCCTCTCGGGTGACCATCTGAGCTTCTTGAAGCCGTGTCTCCAATGGCCCAAAGAGCCAAATGGGCATCCTACCTTTGATCCATCCGCTGCGTGCCCGTGCGCCCGCGGTGACTTTGGGCGTGTAGAGGTTGCAGCAGACCGACGGGACCAGCTCGGTGACCTCTGCCCGCCGTCCGTAACGCTGGTAGTACTGGGTCCAGGCGCTGCGATGGCGCATGGACCAGGCGCCGGACCAAACCAGGCAGGGCCTTGGAATGGTGGGGCATGTTGGGGCTCGGTTGATAGGGAACTTTTCTGGAATGGCCAGAATGGCCAGAAGAGTTTTGCCTCCATGTGGTCCATGTGTCTTGTCAGTCTTGTCTTTTCTGTCTCTTTTCTGGTCTTTCATATCTGAATCTCTGAGCATGTGATCATGTCAAGAGCAACAGCTGCCTTCTTTCTTGAGGAAAGTCCCCCAACGTCACAATGGAGCCGCCCCACGTTCGTTCCGCAGGCGTGCCAAGAGCAGCTTGAAGGTACCGAATGCCATCCACGTCCATGTCATAACCTGTGGTCAGAACGACAAATCTTACACAAGCACACGCACACAAACCACAACAAAAACACGAGAAAACAATTCTATATTGCAAACATTTCTACTTTGAACACTATTAAGGAAACTTTGGAACATGCAATGAATCAGTGGCTTGCCCCTCTCCAGCCCGGGCACCGAAATGAGTATGTCCGAAGATGTGGACGTCTGGCTTCAACCTTAGAGCCCAACCAGGAGGATGTGGATCGACACATTGACTTGAATCGAACCCACCCTTTCCGGGTGCCAGCAGATGGTTTCCTCTAAAATGTTCAAAAACTATGGGGCACCTGGACAAGCCATCTTTGAGGAGTTGGGCCACGGAATTCTCATGTTTTTTTTTCTCACTGACTGATGGATCGCCAAACTCCCCCAGTGGTGAAGCTGAATGGCAGCGGCCCAGTCTTCAGCTTGGAGGCTCTTCGACCCGTTTCTTCAAATGCAATGAGCCCACGGCCTGCAAACTCAGCAACAGAAGGGTGTGAGAAGTCCACTCATCATATCACGCTCCTTCTGCAACCCCAGGGTCTAGCATCTTCTTTTTTGGGGGGTACGGCGGGTACAGGCTGGAGTCGTTGTGCCCTTCCCAAGGTCTTGCCTTGGCCAAAGATGATGGGATCAAATATCGCTTCTCTGGGTTCACCTCCAGTCGCGGCACGAAGTGGGAGAAGGACACAACGCCATGAAATTCGTCCCGGCGCTTCAAGGCCTCTGCAAAACCTCCAAACGACCGAGGCAGGGGGGCTTCTGTCGAACATGGTATGGGGAGAATACTGTGTCTTAAAGGCATGGGACATCTACCGGCACTTTTTATTGGCGGAGATCAAAGTTTGCAAATGGATCAGCATCTTGGCCTGCTCTGGTTTTGCCAGGAGCATCTTTATTCAAAGGATCTTCAAAGCATTGGGTGATTCTTTGGGATGTTGAAAGATCTGAGCCTGAGCCAACCGTCTAGTTTGCTTCAGGTTTTGTTTCTAGCATAGGCAGTGCGTATGTGCCCTCCATGTCTATCAAGGGGTCCTTGGATTGCCATCAAGGAAGGAAACCATGGCACTGACCATCCACATCTATGGGTTTCCTAAAGCAATCTCGAGCGGGTAATGGTGGGAATGACTGTGGAATGGTCGCCTCAAGTGGCTGTTTCCGGCCCTGGGGAAAGGCCGGAAAGGCAAAAGGGTGTTGCTGGCTTGGGATCATCGTTGTGCTTGTGGCTGATTCCCGGAAAATTTCTGGGAACTAAACATCAATATATGCTACAATGGGTGGTTTATATCCTATATTAAACAATGTTTACACCAATAAATGGGTGGTAATACATGGTAATACGGTAATACCCTACAAATGGGTGTTTTTTCATTGATAATTCGTGTTATTTATATCCAATTTGATGCTTCAAACCGTGGTTCATCGATGTTTATGAGGTGGGGCTATTAGTGTGACGCTATTGTATCCCCATGATATCTGGGCATGGGTCAAACCATGGGCGGTGTCTCGTTGACCTTTCTACAAGGTGGTACACCCCACTCGCCACAAACCGAGGTGTCATAATGGCTTCCAAAATCTGAGTTGGCCGGTATAGCATATATGATATATCCCAGAATGACATGGGTTATTAAGCATTTTCTACCTGGGATGCACGGTCGTTCCCACACAAACAGAATTAGGTGCAGCACGCTGAATGCCGACTGAGAGATCGCCCAAAAATGTCACAAACATGTTGACTTGTTGACAAATGCAGGGTGCTTTTGAGCACAACAGGGTATATGCCATACTTCCAATACAGGGCTGGGCTACACCCATGGTCACCATGGTTTTGAAATGTTTTGAAGCACTCAGGATTGGAGTGAGCCTTTGGCACAGCCACAGACACAATTTTCGGGAATGAACGCATGCACTGCCAACACAGCAGGAATTGGATGATGATCACTTGTGGATCTGATAATTACGTAGGAATCCATACAAAATGGCGGATAACGATTCAGGATACACTAACCAATATAAAAAGGCAACCGAAACAATCAAGACCTGAAGGCAAGGTGACTCGATCAAGGCTTTCGTTGAACACACCTCCCAAAGTCAAGCTTTGCAAGTTGCTCGGCAAGGTCACTCCATCAAGGCTTTGGTCAAAATATAATCCGAAAGTCAAGCTTTGCAAGTTGCTCGGCAAGGTCACTCCATCAAGGCTTTGGTCAAAATCTTTTCCGAAAGTCAAGCTTTGCAAGTTGCTCGGCAAGGTCACTCCATCAAGGCTTTGGTTGAACATATCTCCGAAAGTCAAGCTTTGCAAGTTGCTCGGCAAGGTCACTCCATCAAGGCTTTGGTTGAACATATCTCCGAAAGTCAAGCTTTGCAAGTTGCTCGGCAAGGTCACTCCATCAAGGCTTTGGTTGAACATATGGCCGAAAGTCAAGCTTTGCAAGTTGCTCGGCAAGGTCACTCCATCAAGGCTTTGGTTGAACATATCTCCGAAAGTCAAGCTTTGCAAATTGCTCGGCAAGGTCACTCCATCAAGGCTTTGGTTGAACATATGTCCGAAAGTCAAGCTTTGCAAGTTGCTCGGCAGGGTCACTCCATCAAGGCTTTGGTCAAAATCACTTCCGAAAGTCAAGCTTTGCAAGTTGCTCGGCAAGGTCACTCCATCAAGGCTTTGGTTGAACATTGGTGCGAAAGTCAAGCTTTGCAAGTTGCTCGGCAAGGTCACGCCATCAAGGCTTTGGTTCAAAGTCAAGCTTTGCAAGTTGCTCGGCAAGGTCACTCCATCAAGGCTTTGGTCAAAATCTCTTCCGAAAGTCAAGCTTTGCAAGTTGCTCGGCAAGGTCACTCCATCAAGGCTTTGGTTGAACATACTTCCGAAAGTCAAGCTTTGCAAGTTGCTCGGCAAGGTCACTCGATCAAGGCTTTTGTTGAAGATACCTCCCAAAGTCAAGCTTTGCAAGTTGCTCGGCAAGGTCACTCCATTAAGGCTTTTTTTGAACATACCTCCCAAAGTCAAGCTTTGCAAGTTGCTCGGCAAGGTCACTCGATCAAGGCTTTGGTTGAACATAAATTCGAAAGTCAAGCTTTGCAAGTTGCTCGGCAGGGTCACTCCATCAAGGCTTTGGTTGAACATATGTCCGAAAGTCAAGCTTTGCAAGTTGCTCGGCAAGGTCACTCCATCAAGGCTTTGGGTGAACGTATCTCCGAAAGTCATCTCCGAAAGTCAAGCTTTGCAAGTTGCTCGGCAGGGTCACTCCATCAAGGCTTTTGTTGAACATATGGCCGAAAGTCAAGCTTTGCAAGTTGCTCGGCAGGGTCACTCCATCAAGGCTTTGGTTGAACCTACGTCCGAAAGTCAAGCTTTGCAAGTTGCTCGGCAAGGTCGCTCCGTCAAGGCTTTGGTTGAACGTATCTTCGAAAGTCAAGCTTTTCAGGCTTTCGGGGAGGCTGCCCAAACGTGGAACATAGGTGCATCCTCCTATCTGCGTCACCCCATCCAACGCAAGATGTGGCTCAGAGACTTGGAATCCTTTGAGGTATCTCCAAGCTGCGTATAGGTCTATTGGAACATAAGTGCAGGACAGTCTCGCAGTCTTCCCTTCAATGCCTTGCTCTTGCAACGTTTGCTGGAGCATCAATGGTGAAGCTAGGTGGTAGAGGACCATCTTTGTCCTTTTCTTGGTCGGAAGTTGCTCAGAGACCATCGTGCGCACTTCCAGGCCCAGAGTGGAAGGACTGAGGCTCAGGCTACACCCTTCACCATTGAGGCATAGCACATGGAGATCAATCAAGTCAACCAGCTCGGAACCAGCCGACCCCACATAGCCATCAACACTCGACATCCTTGAGGGATGTTTGAACCAGTAATTAAAACCTCAATGTTCCATAATGTTCCCGATGAACATTTCGGGGTCTACCCCATTTTGTGACAGATCCATCCATATGATCATATGGTTAGAAGATGTAAGAAGTATGTCACTGGCCCTCCGGTTGAAGTCCCTCATCATGGCCGATCTTTTTTTAAGCTGCATATCTACTCCCCTTTTACAAAATATCGAAAGTATTCATAACAGAATAAACAACTGCCCTTCACCAATGAACGCAATATAACACAATCATCGACAATCATTAAACTACCCTTGGACGTTTATCATGGATCATGGCATTGAATTCTATAATTATGATTGGATAATAAGAAATACCATCTGGTGAACTCACATAGCAATGGAAAATCACCATTTTTGATGGGAAAATCCACTATAAATAGCCATTTTCCATTGCTATGTTAGTTCACCAGAGGGTATTTTTTTTGACCAATCTATGGAGTGCCCATGAGATCCATGATGACTCATATCCCCACATATCCCCATGGTTGGTGAAAAAATGCCCATAGTTCTCATGGCAAATCCATGGCATCCCACCATGTTCGATATCTCACGATACGTCTGCCATAAACCCTACTTTTCTGGTACGGTTACAGTAGTTGGAGTCAGCTAGTTATAGTACAATTATAGTAGTTGGATTCCCATTGAAGTCACCACTGGCCAATGAACCCTCTACATCTTTGCTGATAAGGACCGACCCTGCCTGATGCATTGAGCTTATCTAGCTCTTCAGCTACAGATCCATCGTCGATGCGAAGATCTGCGGGCCACTTGGTGGCCCAATAATCCTGGATTTTGGGGATGGTGGGTAACAGTTGGAGAGGCATCTGCCATGCGAAGCCTACTGTAGTACATCTCGCATTTTCTTAGACAGGGAACCATGCTGCCTTTAACAGTCGCACAAACTTGCGCCGAAGCTGACACACATTTTTGGCATGGTCCTCAACCACATCTCCCCAAAGAAGTACGGCCTTAAATAGTACAACCCTTCCCCTTTTTTTGGCTGGCCTACGTTGCCAAAGTGTACTATACTGCCTGTCCAGCAACTATTCATCTGCGACCGCCCTGTCCGAGTCTCCACAATTGTCTTCTCCAGCGGTGGCACGTTCCACTCCTCAGCGGGATGCCAATCGTGACAAACTGACACAGGCGAACTGATTTCAGTTTAATTAAAACATAGGGTAACATTGCTGCAATACGCTGAAAACATAAGTCGTACGATCGTATATATATATGTATATAAAGTAGTATCACTAAGTGACTACTTAAGACTTATATACTTGGTCATATCAAACCCATGATGCATGCCCCCTTTGTGGCTTACCCGCAATGCGAGGGTCCTCCAACTCTGGCTCAGTATCCCACTGCGGATGATGCCATGCGAAGATTGGCACCACCAAGAGGGGTCCAACACCTCTGCACTTCGAATGAGCACATCGACACCGGGCCAAGTCTACTTATGTGACCAGTAAAGCCTCCCCAACAAAGGCTTATTGTTGGGTGAACCCCTATTAGGGTTGACTGAATCATATTTATAAAAGGACCACTTCATTGGCCATTGTTTACCTCATTGATAATTTAATAGATTCGATGCTGGTGAAACACTTGGATTTTTTCTTGCCTATTCACCTCCAGCTGATCGAAGAAATTCATTGGATGTGTCTCCAGCACCAGGTCCCAGCCTGTGTTCACAACACCTGGCGCAGTTTCCTGAGCAACCAATTTGAATGCGTCATCCTACGATCCCAGCTGGTGGGATTGTATATTATGGTAGAATGGCAAGGAGAAAAACAAAAATAATACGTATAAATAAGTAAGTACGTCTCTTGTCAGACCCTCTTCTGCCCACGGACTGCAGATTTCGTGACCTTTGAATGAATCAAAAGCCAAAACAAACGGCCCACAGCTACCACTTTCAAACTTGGATATGTTGTCACGTTGTAGGAGGATCATTTCCTAGCCTTCTCATGCCTTCTCCCCCCTGCATCAAAGTTGCAATCCCCTTCGATTTGCAAAACTTCAGGATGGCCTTCAGCTTGTCCTCACCGAGCTGAGCATCGCTAGCTGAAGTTTCCAGGGCTGCGGCCAAGGCTCCAGAGAGTTGCCATTCTTCCAGCCCTGCATCCACAGGTCGTGGTTGCCTGAAAGGCATAGCTGGGCATGGTATGATTCAACAGCCACAACCAGAAGTGATGTGCATTGGTGCGGCTCATGTCACAGGCAATCCATCAAATCGACTAAGTTGCCTCGGTTCTTTTTTTAGGGGGCCGAACGTGTATCGTGTATGCATTGTAATAGTTTTTTTTTAAATAGATTCTATAGTCATTTATAGTCCATATTCCCATCCCCCAGTGGCGCTCAGTCGCCTGGACAAAAGAAGATGCGACCGAAGCGAGACTTCAACAGCAGCAGCGTCTCTTGTAGCACCTGTGCGGCCCAAATTTTGCGCGACCAGCCGAATACGGGTTAAACATCGGGGCAGCCAATCCCACAGAGATGGTACACACAGTCATTTTGTGCCATTGCAATACCAAGACGTACTGAATAAATCTGTGTAAAACAATATAAAACAATATAAAACATGGGTTTTGGGCCCAATCGTCTTGATCCATAGCCACTTGGGACCTGCTTCTTGGGATCCACAGGGGCCTCACATCCCCTGCCTCCATGGTGTTTGCGATATCGCCAGCCAGGATCAGAACGTCCTCTTGGAACCTCGGTGACATAAAAACATCGTCCGTTTTTTCCATCATTTTTTTTGGGCCATCGCTTTTCGGTGGGTTCCGACATGTTTCAAGGGATCATTTTTACCTACTAAAATTCCAAATGGGATAGACGTGGATTCATCAAACTGGTTGAACCCACCAGCCGGGTTTGAATCACTCCCAAATAAAGGCCATTTGATGAAGCTTCTTGTCCAATCAAGCGAAAAATAGCGAACGTGTTCTCCCCAGTATGTCACTACACTTCCTTCCCCAAAACTGCCTCCTGGAAACTCTCGGGGGTCCAAGTCTAAGACCCACTGCATGTTCTCCTTCTTGTCTGTGTGGATATCAGACATGGCCCAAAGCCGCGGGCCCACCACAGGGGGAAGCTTTCCCGCAGGATCTTGGTTGATGTCTTTGGCAGCTATTCTTGCCAGCAGCTCTTTGTCTTTCCTCAGCACGAATAGGATGTCGATGCAGAACACCTAATTACCTCACAATAACAAACAACATCTATCTTCAAATCTCTTGCCTCAGCGCCAAACTTCCGACAACAGCCTTACGTATCCCCGGAAGAAATCACATCTTCTTCACTATCTTCACTAATCAATATCATCTTCAGAATGCAAATCTACCATAGCAGCTCTGGCAGCCACATCACCAGGTGGCACTCGTATACTCAACCATCCGGTCTCTGGGCCCTCACCTGCCACGCTCCGGTTCATGGTCCCAGCCCTGGGGGAGATTTTGCGCATGGTCTCATGGTCCTACGTTCTGCATGGTGTGCCTTGAAGCTTCTTGAACTGCAGGCGCTCGCCCACCAGATCCAATTCCAGCAGTATTGCGCCATGGCAAAGACGGTCCTTGACACTTTCAACCAAATCCACGTGGAATCTGCACTGAGGAAACCTGTGAAGCAGCCCCAACTAAACACAAAGAGCAGCAATTTTTCGAATTGATTGCTTTTGCTGCTGTGGTGAACCCAATGCTGCAAAATCTGCAATTAGGAGAGAAATTCAGGTAAGGAAAAATGCAGATGGCTTGCCATTGGTTACCCGATCATGTCACATGCCATGAGGAGAATCATCATTATAGTAACCGCTAAAAAGATAGACAAGTTATGACAAGTTAATGTACCATCTATCTCGGTAGTATTTTGCCTTTCTATCTTTTTCGGGGTTGCTACTCGCTACACCTCCTGCATCTAAGCGTCGGCGGCTTCGCTATTCAGACTCTGCCCCTGGCGCACCAAAACGCTGCGACCCAGCACGCGCCAGTGGTCGCCACGCATCAGGCTGCCAGATTCCGATCTCAACGTTTGGGGAAAACGTCCACATAGGGAAATCCTCTTGAACACGTATAGTTTTGCCCTTAGTTTCCGTTTATTTTCCCGGAGATCATTGCAAAAACCACTCGAAACAAGCTGTTGCATGCTACCATATAAGCACAGGTTCGATTCCAGGTGACTTGCTCTTCCACTCCTATGTCAACTGCCGTTTCTCTGTGGAGCCTTTCAGCTGTGCAGCAGGGTGGCTCATTACTCTTCTACTTATATATATAGTTTTGATGAAGTGAAAGCTGCAGCCGGAATTGTCAACAAAGCATGCAGAACACCAAAATGGTCTTCCCAGCGACGGCAAATCTCACCAAATCTGGTGCCAAAAATGTGGTTCTGCTACCGGTGCCGGGTCATGATTTCCTTCATACCTTGACGCAACAGGCTTCAACCATTTCATTTCACAACCTCCGAAGCTGCGTGGAACTCTCGCCTGATATTGTACAGGGCGTGTCTTTAGCTGCGTCAGACCTCGGGAAGTGACTCCATCACAGCAACTTGAAGGGATGTCGGCATCTGGCACAGCCTTTCAAAAATCTCATCAGTTTGCCCCAACAGGACACCCATGCCTAGCCATGTCAGTCTTGGCATCAGCCGTTTGAATCAACCAAGGATCTCCGCAAAGTACGGCGCTTTCGTAGGTCGGAACCACGTATTTGATGTTGATGAAGGCATCTTCTCCTGCCATGTGCTTGAATGGGACCCCGAGCCGTGCCTCTTGCAGCCAAACCCTGTATGCTAGGGTCATAGGTGTAAACCCTATTCAAACATCAGCCTTGGGCCTTAAAGCCTTAGGTACTCTTTGGGAACCTGACTTGGCATTCAGAAATCCCACATTCAGATTCAGTTAATTATGAAATATTATAAATTCTTATAAACTGTAGATTAAATATTTGCAGTTGAACATTGGGATTTTCACACTTCGATCTGGCACTTGCCAACTGTGTTGTGCCTCCATGCTCCTCCAGAATCTGCAAGGTTTCCTAAGTCAAAGCGGATTTCAAGAACAAAGAGCTTTAAAAGAATGCTAATATACACATACACACAAACACACACACACACATATAAATATATATATAAATATATTTATAACTATATTAAAAACACATAGATATATGCACGCCGGTACATACCAATTGCTTTTAAAGACCTCCATATCTGGGGAGCCCCAGATGTGGTGACTGGTGATGCCAGTCGCGACTGGTTGGTTAATAGGGATTCCCATTTGATCGTGACAATCACCAATAAACTGGATCACACACACACACATATATATATATATATACAGAACCCCTAAGAGATCCCTATAACCTATAATCAACCAACAGGGGTTTATTGGGTTTAGCAGCCACTGCTCTTTGTTTGCGCAGTCATGTTTCTGTGATGAGGTCGCCCAAGCACAAGTTCTTGCGCTGACCATAGTCCATATAGTCGCCCATGTCCTATCCATGGCAGGCCTCCTATGGGGACCCCGCGGCCGTAACCAAAGACTCAAAGAGTGAGGACAGAGTCGACATACATACCCTGCTAGCAACATCTGGCAACCAGCTTCCAATCATATTTACGCACATGCGCAATCATGCGCACATGTATGGTAAACACATATACTTTTTTTTGATCAAAGGCTTCTTGCCTTGGCGGGGATGTTTCGGCTTTTGAAGAGCGAGCATGGGGGCCTGGGAGTGCTGTGAAGGTGCCCCTTGGAATCCAATGGTTGATGATCCTTTTCCCTATTTATGCAATTGTTGGGAGCAGATTCCATTTTCAGACCCAAGATACCAAGTCTACAACTGCAAAGTCTTCTCTTGGGGAGACATGGGGAGTCATGATGAGAACATGTGTGGAGAACAAAGAGTAAAATCATCTTCAACATCTACAGTGTAGAGAACTGCGATACCGTAGCCTCTGCTAGGCAGCTACCACGCTCCAGCACTTTTTTCAGCACAGTCAGGCCCAAGCCCAAGTTTCCCAATATCAATCCTACCCATCCAGATTCTCAAGCGGTCATCAAATCATATCAACTGTCAGTCCAAGTTGGGACCCAAACAGGATCTGACGATAATAGGGCACCAAAGCCTGCCAGTGGATTTTGGAAAATCAAAGTGTTTCACCCCTGACAAGGGTGAACAAATATAATCGCATATAATCGCAAACTGCTGGTAGTTTCTGGACCTGATCTTGAACAGGCATGGCGGCATAGCTTCTTTCATTTTGAGAAAGCAACAATAACACACACTGCCTGGGGTGACTAATCTTCCACCGCTTGCCTGCTTGTAGATGTCGAGTTTGGGACAACCCAGGCAGGAGGGCCCAATGTTAACACATTGAAATGCCCGTACAACCGATCTCCCATATATCTCCCATATGATATAGGAATCAGTCGGAACCAAGCTGGACACTATTCCAAGGCCAGGAGGAATCAAAATGCAGCGCCTCTCCAATCATTTCCTGGGCGGAAAGGAGGAGGTGACACATGCTTTGGTCAAGGGGATCGTGACATATCGTGACCTACGGGAAAGCACAACTGACCATTGAAACCAGAAGGTTCCTGAAAGATCCATCAAGTATATCCCTCGAAACCATGGCTGTAAAGCAATAGGGCCTGGTCGACATGTAGATCTGTGATCTATGGCAAAAGCCTCTATCTTATCTTCGAATGGCCCGTGAATTTGGCAGAGCTACATCAACCAGCATCCTGCCCAAATACCTTTGGTTCTTCTCTTCAAGGATCCTTCCTGCCCTGTGCGCAATGTTCCGCCAAGGATCGCCACTGAGGACCAGCTTCTGCAAGAGCTTCAGGGTGGTGCACATGATCTGTGGATCACCTGCTGCAGCACACTTTGGATGTCCGATAGGTCCGATAGGTGATAGACTCATGAACGGTGATAGCTGCAGCCGTAGCCAATTGTGAAGCTGGACCAGTGAGCGATCAATTCTAGCATTGTGGTAGTCTCCGTTCGCTGGATTAATCAACATGTCGAACCTTTGCCTTTCTGATACAGAAAAGTCAAGCATCAAACTACTTGGAGCTGGATACCAATCTTTTCGCTACTTTTTTCCAATGAATGCCGAGTTCACATTGGTGAACAACATTCCCTACGAGCATGACTTCCCCATGACTTCCCATATTTTCCCAATGCCAAGTCGCGAGTGTTCAGTGCTGCCTTCAATGGAATGACCAACTGCGGTACCACCTGGAATCATTTCAGCTGTGGGTTCACAGTGGTGAAAGATGCTGGGTAGATCCATTTTTTAGATTTGAACGATTGATGTTGAATTCGCTTGGATTCATTTGGATTCAAAAGTCAACTCATTTGATTTATGGACAGTTGATGTACTTTTATACATTCATCATTATTGGATGATAATGATAATGAATGATAATGATATTAGGCATTGGAATTATGTGGAATTAACACACCCGCAATGCCATACACCTCTTTTTCATTCGGAATGTAAAAGATTCAGCCGTAAGTCATCGGGGATGGTTATGGAAAAATGGGGTTTACTGCACAACAGTTCTTGAACCACACAATGATTTGTAGGATTCAATGCTAAAGCATGTCTGCAAAATAGTGATCATTTCTGTCCTTTCGGGAAAGTGCGGGTTGTATTAATCACATGTGGAACATATTCAGTTTGATTGCTTCGGTTGTCTCAGTTTCTGGCGCCGGAATATGATTATGATTGATTATGCCTCCTCAAGCCTAACCTTCAAAACAGAAATCAATTATATATTTCTTCTGCCAGAGTTTTTTCCTCAATGTTTGTCACGTTCATCAATGTGATTGTTCCAGAAAATGAATGAAAAGGAGGAAAACGTCTCAGCTGATCTGAGAGAATTCATAGGTGAATTTTTACCTCGACAGTCTTGCAATATCTTTCAATCCTCCATATATACTCATCCATAGGGGGGTTTTCCAAACCGCCCCAAATGATCATCCAAGTGGTAAGCGTCCCCGCTGGCAAGATGCGATCTCCGCCCTTTTCCAGCATGTCATAGGCCCCGGTGACCGCCATGAACCTAGGCTCCCAGTGACACCCAGTTCCTTTAAGTGGCATGTCGGAGGGGTCCATAGACTGGAAGTGCTACTAGTAAGTACCAAGCCCCAAGAAAAACACGATCAGTGCTGTGCCAAGTGTTTCGCCGTCACTCTGCGAGAAGCACTGCCTCTCAAAAGTCTTAAAATTATAGATAAACAGTACTTACAGTAGATCCACTTGAGCACATCTATCTGATATAACTGCCCAGTTTACCTAGCAATTCCTGCCCCATCCTTTCCTGGCTGGGCTTGCTGACCGGAAAGGATCTTCCTTTTCCCTCAGTCCATCGAAGAAAATGGGCAAATAGTGGTGGTAGTCCAATTTCTCCACCTGGGCTACTTTGGCACAGCAAGGGCTGACAGCTTTTCTTGGGGGGGCTTAGAGTTGCAGAGTTCATCATCGCCTTCTGAAGCATCAGTTCCTTGATTTCAGCTGGAGGTTTTGAACCAATCACTGGGTTATTTCCCAGCGCTTCCTGGTCCCTTGTCCGAGCTCCCGTGCGTCCACTTTCCACAAAAGCTTACCTGCCAATTTTTGATGCCACAGTAGAACGCAGTACTTGCAGGTCCATCAGATCTAATAAGTGGGTTACAACCCACATACAGCCGATTATCTGGGGTACAACCCCTCTCTCTCTCTCTCTATATCATCATCATCATCATCATCATCATCCTCATCCTCATCCTCATCCTCATCACCCTCATCATCCTCATCCTCATCATCCTGATCATCATCATCCTGATCATCATCATCATCATCACCATCATCATCATCACCACCATCACCATCATCATCTTCATCCTCATCATCCTGATCATCATCATCATCATCACCATCACCATCATCATCATCATCATCACCATCATCACCACCATCACCAGCATCATCACCATCACCACCATCATCATCATCATCACCATCACCATCAGCATCATCATCGTCATCATCATCACCACCATCACCAGCATCACCATCATCATCATCATCTTCATCTTCATCATCATCTTCATCATCATCATCCTCATCATCCTCATCATCCTCATCATCCTCATCATCATCATCCTGATCATCATCATCCTGATCATCATCATCATCATCACCATCAGCATCATCATCATCATCACCACCATCACCAGCATCATCATCATCATCATCATCTTCATCTTCATCACCATCAGCATCATCATCATCAGCATCATCATCATCATCCTCATCCTCATCCTCATCATCCTCATCATCTTCATCATCCTCATCCTCATCATCCTCATCATCCTCATCATCCTCATCATCTTCATCCTCATCATCCTGATCATCATCATCATCATCACCATCACCATCATCATCATCATCATCACCATCATCACCACCATCACCAGCATCATCATCATCATCATCATCATCATCTTCATCTTCATCTTCATCATCATCTTCATCATCATCATCATCATCATCATCTTCATCTTCGTATTCATATATCTATAACATTCTATAACTGGGTTATAAGTTGTATTATCGTTATATTATGGTTATTAATACTTACTAGTAACATCTAGTAACACTAGTACTAGTCACTTACCAGCGGGGATGCGCCAAGTAACATGCCGACCTCGGGCCACTGGACATGGACAAACCCTACCCAATGCCAAGCTGCCCATGGAACCGTGGTAGATCTGCACTGGCAAATCACCCCGCCTGGCAAGCTGTTCGATACTGATGCTGTTGGAAATGTTGGAATATGGAGGGTTCCGAAAATGGGATTGCCTCCAAATCATGCAGTTTCATAGGATTTTCACAGGATCGTCCATCATTATGAAGCATCCATTTGGGGGTACCCCCATTTATGGAAACCCCCATATCGTTGATCCATCCCCAAACCACTTCACGGATTCCACGGCCAAGGTGGTCCATTGAGGTTCCGGGCTCGTAGAAGACCCTCAACATGGAAGGCTTGATGGGCTTGCGCCTGACACAGCTACCGAAGGTGGGGATATGGTCAGACCGGTCATCTGAATGCACCCCAAGATGTAAAGATTTTGAGTGGCTGTCAGTCTGAAGCAGGCTGTTTTGAAACATCCCTCAACTGTTGCGAATTGCTGGGCGCATTTGTGCGCTTGTTCTGATCCAACATCCTAGAGGGCTCTTGGGTCCAGAAAATGGGTGCCTTATCATCATGTTACCTAGTGGCCCTAGTGACATTGCCACACAATTGGGGGCCCATCATGGCCCATCCACCATTTTTTGAGAAACCACATGGCAAACTCTTGGTGATATAGTATCTTCCATAATGTCCAGATTTTGTTAATTATACATGTTTAGAACATTTTAAAACCATATTTTGGTGGTTTAATCCGTCAGCAACGCTGGAACATGTGCCCCTGCGTGCCTGTACGCCCCTGCTTTTGGAGGACCATCGAATGGCACAGTTCGGGGCCTCAGGTATCGGCGGGATGTCATCAGCGCTGGGCCAATCGGTGGCACTGGCAGTGGTTGACAGATCAAAACGTATCAACACACGCACACACACACACACACACGCGGATATATATATATTCTTTATCCATAACTATGATGTTACATTACTGTAAATAAATAAATAAATCAATAAATAAATATATATATATACATATATATGAATTATACATAGAAAGTAAGCTTAGAACAAATAATTTTTGTCACCCCAATTCTTGTGGCTCGGTGCTTTTGATGAGGAACTAGTTTCTGTAATCAAGTTCATATCATTTCTTGGTTGATCATTTCCCTGCAGGAGCTCTCCTCCCTCCCCCTTTTTCTGCACCACAGGCCCAGTCATCTTCCAGGCGGTTTCATACGCGCCAGTTGGTCTTGACGGGGCGCGGCTGCGGGGCTACACAATCAGCTGAGATGGCTGCTGGAAGTCTGGCTTGCAACCTGATGCAGGGCTTGGTCGTAACGATGGCTTTAGATGTAGAAATCTCAATCAGTTAGCCCCCAGAAAACTCACATCTGGAATTCCTGAAAATTGCAAGTTTTAATGGTAAAATCACCGTCCAAAGCCAATTTTTACGAGTTCCATGTGATTTTTCAGGGTGTAAGCGCTTGGTGGTTTCTGTTGCAGCTCCAAACCATGAAGGTTTAATTGGCAAATCATGGGGTTCATTGTTTCATGATCAGCAATAACTGCCAATGAAGTCTGATATATATATATATATAATTATATATATATTATAATTACATATTAATACACGTATCTATCTATCTATCTATCCATCTAGCTAGCTATCTAACTATCTAACTATCTAACTATCTATCTATCTATCTATCTGATAAAAGACTCTTATCGTCCACACTTGGCGTATGGGAACATGTTCAGGAGACTGTTATTTTCAAGTTTTACCGTCCAAAGCTGTCAGTTTTCTGCTACCTTTCCACGAAACCAATTCTTGGAACCATGGCAAGGAATGCCTCAACACATCAGTACTGACAGCCCCACGGCATGCCTGCTGTTTCCCATGCTGGTGTCAAAAAAAAAAAATATTTGTGAGATTTTAAGGTCACGGTGGTATTCGGAAACTGGCGAGTGGTATTCGGAAACTGGAGGTGGTATTCGGAAACTGGTATTCGGAAACTGGAAGTGGTATTCGGAAACTGGAAGTGGTATTCGGAAACTGGACAGTGGTATTCGGAAACTGGACAGTGGTATTCGGAAACTGGACAGTGGTATTCGGAAACTGGGAAGTGGTATTCGGAAACTGGTATTCGGAAACTGGAAGTGGTATTCGGAAACTGGAAAGTGGTATTCGGAAACTGGGAGTCGTATTCGGAAACTGGAAAAAGGTATTCGGAAACTGAGATTGGTATTTGGAAACTGATATAATTGGAAACTGGAAACCCGTAGTAACAAGTAACGTAGCAAGGATCCCAGAGATCTCAGCAGCGTAGTAACAAGTAACGTAGTAAGGTCCCAGAGATGCCAGCAGCGTAGTAACATGTAACGTAGTTTTAGATCCCACAGATCGTTGCAGCGTAGCACACTATAATGTACGAAGTACAAGGAACGTTGACATGCCCCCCCTACCCCACCCCACCCCACCTCATCAGCAGCGTAGTAACAAGTAACGTAGCAACGATCCCAGAGATCTCAGCAGTGTAGCACACTATAACGTACGAAGTTCAAGGAACGTTGACATGCCCCCCCTACCCCACCCTACCCCATCAGCAGCGTAGTAACAAGTAACGTAGCAACGAGCCCAGAGATCCCAGCAGCGTAGTAACAAGCAACGTAGCAACGATCCCGGAGATCTCAGCAGCGTAGTAACATGTAGCGAATATGATTCAATTGGGGCGGTACCACGTAAGTGTATCGGATGATCACTCTTTGGGCAGGGTTTACCCCTAACGCATTATATAGGCCAGAGGAGGTGGCAGTTTTGATCCCTCATAAAGTTAAGTTCAAGTCAAGACCCTATTCATCGTATTGGCCAGAGGGGATGGCGGTTTTGATCCCTCATGAAGATAGGTTCAAGGTAAGATCCTATTCAATCAGTTTCGTTAAGATCCTATTCAATGTATGGGCCAGAGGGGGTGGCAGTTTTAATCCCTCATGAAGATAAGTTCAAGTGAAGATTTTATGCATCGTATTGGCCAGAGGGGGTGGCAGTTTTGATCCCTCAGGAAGTTAAGTTCAAGTTCAGATCCTGTTCATAGTATTAGCCAGAGGGGGTGGCAGTTTTGATCCCTCCTGGAGCAAAGTTGAAGTTAAGATCCTATTCAATGTATGGGCCAGAGGGGGGTGGCAGTTTTGATCCCTCATGAAGATAAGTTCAAGTTAAGATCCTATGCACCGTATTGGCCAGAAGGGTGGCAGTTTTGATTCATCATGAAGATAAGTTCAAGGTAAGATCCTATTCAATGTATTGGCCTGAGGGGGTGGCAGTTTTGATCCCTCATGAAGATTATTTCAAGTTAAGATATGTTAAGATCCTATGCACCGTATTGGCCAGTTTTGAATCCCCATGAAGATAATTTCAAGGTAAGATCCTATTCAATGTATTGGCCAGAGGGCAGTTTTGATCCCTCCTGGAGAAAAGTTGAAGTTAAGATCCTATTCAATGTATGGGCCAGAGGGGGTGGCAGTTTTGATCCCTCCTGGAGAAAAGTTGAGGTTAAGATCCTATTCAATGTATTGGCCAGAGGGGATGGCGGTTTTGTCCCTCTGAAGATAAGCAACAAAAGTTAAGATCCTATTTCTCGTATTGGCCAAAGGGGGGGTAGTTTTGATCCCTCATGAAGATAGGTTCAAGGTAAGATCTTATTCAATAAGTTTCGTTAAGATCCTATTCAATGTATGGGCCAGAGGGGGTGGCAGTTTTGATCCCTCATGAAGATAAGTTCAAGTTAAGATCCTATGCACCGTATTGGCCAGAGGGGGTGGCAGTTTTGATTCATCATGAAGATAATTTCAAGGTAAGATCCTATTCAATGTATTATTGGCCAGAGGGGGTGGCAGTTTTGATCCCTCCTGGAGAAAAGTTGAAGTTAAGATCCTATTCAATGTAATGGGCCAGAGGGGGTGGCAGTTTTGATCCCTCCTGGAGAAAAGTTGAGGTTAAGATCCTATTCAATGTATTGGCCAGAGGGGATGGCGGTTTTGTCCCTCATGAAGATAAGTTCAAGTTAAGATCCTATTTATCGTATTGGCCAGAGGAGGTGGCAGTTTTGATCCCTCATGAAGATAGGTTCAAGGTAAGATCCTATTCACTAAGTTTCGTTAAGATCCTATTCAATGTATTGGCCAGAGGGGGGTGGCAGTTTTGATGCCTCATGAAGATAAGTTCAAGTTAAGATCCTATGCACCGTATTGGCCAGAGGGGGTGGCAGTTTTGATTCATCATGAAGATAATTTCAAGGTAAGATCCTATTCAATGTATTGGCCAGAGGGGGTGGCAGTTTTGATCTCTCCTGGAGAAAAGTTGAAGTTAAGATCCTATTCAATGTATGGGCCAGAGGGGGTGGCAGTTTTGATCCCTCCTGGAGAAAAGTTGAGGTTAAGATCCAATTCAATGTATTGGCCAGAGGGGATGGCGGCTTTGTCCCTCGTGAAGATAAGTTCAAGTTAAAATCCTATTTATCGTATTGGCCAGAGGGGGTGGCAGTTTTGATCTCTCCTGGGGAAAAGTTGAAGTTAAGATCCTATTCAATGTATGGGCCAGAGAGGGTGGCAGTTTTGATCCTTCATGAAGATAGGTTCAAGTTAAGATCCTATTCGCTAAGTTTCGTTAAGATCCTATTCAATGTATTGGCCAGAGAGGGTGGCAGTTTTGATCCCTCATGAAGATAAGTTCAAGTTAAGATCCTTTGCATCGTATTGGCCAGAGGGGGTGGCGGTTTTGAGTTGCTGGGATACCACAATCATTGCTGGGAGAAACCATAGAGTCAGCATTGAATCCGACGAAAATAGTTTCTGAATACTGCAAAAATAGTTTCTGAATACCACGAGTAATTTCTGAATCCGACGAAATAGTTTCTGAATACTACGAAAATAGTTTCTGAATACCACGAGCAGTTTCTGAATCGGACGACAATAGTTTCTGAATACTACGAATAGTTTCTGAATACCACGAGTAGTTTCTGAATACCACGAAATAGTTTCTGAATACCACGAAATAGTTTCTGAATACTACGAATAGTTTCTGAATACCACGAAATAGTTTCTGAATACCACGAAATAGTTTCTGAATACCACGAGTAGTTTCTGAATCCGACGAAATAGTTTCTGAATCCCACGAAATAGTTTCTGAATACCACGTTTATTTTCTGAATCCGACGAGCAGTTTCTGAATCCCTAGTTTCTGAATCCGGCGTAGTTTCTGAATCCGTCTTTGTCCAGATTTTAATAGGTTCTTTCGGTCAGGATGACCCGGGCCACATGGATGCGTATGATGCTTCCGCTACTTGGTGGAGTGGTTGGGAATCTTATGATAGCTTCATGGTCCGTCTGGTCTGATGCATCTGATCCATCTGATGCATCTGGACTGCTTGTGTCCATTGGTGTCCGCCCAGAAACACTCCTCACAAGGGAACGGCTGGTTCTGTTCCCAAAGGCGCTTGTTGTCCCTCTGGTCGAGGCCATTGTACCATTTCCTGAGGCGATGGATCTGGGATTCTCTGGTGCGCTGATCCATCTGAAATTGGTCGAGGGGCATTTGCTATGAGATGGGGTGGTCTGAAAATAGGATGCCCAAAAATTTGATAATCATAGTTTCCTATATATATATATATCTATATACATAACATTATTTATATGGTTACTATATATATATCATTATGTATCAAATGACCATTTAATGGGGAGGCATTTTGGGGCACGTACACACACACACACCCATATAGCCATCCATCTTAAAGCATGCTGGTCTTCAATTTCAGCAAAGCAACTCCACGGCAGTGGACACGAGGTCACCATCAATGCGAATGCTGTTCCAGGCAGCGCAATGGTGGTGGCAGCTGTCCAAAAACGCGCCAGATTTGGGATTCCTTCCAAGCAAACTGGTCAAAATTCCTAAGGCAGCCGCAGGTGCAGAATGCGATTACTTCCACAGCACATCCACCGGAACCTACCGTTGAACCTAAAGTAGAGTGGCTTCTTTGGCTTAGGAAGATTGACATAGCTGAAGTGCTATCAAGTGTCATCAATTTTCTTCAAGGGGATGGAAAGAAAACGGCCCCAAATGGACCTTTTTCTGTATGCGGTGGAGGTGTTACAGGTACCACATGGTACCACAAACACAATTCCGCAGAACTGCAGAAGGGTGCAGGACATGTCAAAGTCGATCCGTTTCTACTGCTCTTTTGCCCTCCCTGGTGATCCCTGAAGTAGCTGGATCCATGGTCAGCAATCAGCACATCCCCATCCCAATGGTCTCAGGGTCGCTGGGTGATGTTCTTCCCCAGCAGTTGGGTCTTTCGGACACCGCCTGGGCCCTGCACGTGCGAGGTCTGCCAGGAATCCTGGGGCGGTTGGCAACTGGATATGGTCGGACCGTCCTTTCTTGGATTAAAGCATGAAACAAAGCGAAACTGAGGGTAGGTGTCCATCAATTTTAGCATCTTGTCATGACCTTTCAGTCCCTTTGTAGTCTCTTTTACTGTCATAACTGGAAAAAAGGAACCTTGCAGCTTTTTCCCCATCTGTTTCCCAGCCGTTCCCATCAATCAGATTCGGCCACTCATATACATCGCATTTCCACACAGATTCGAGGCACATACTCCGACTGCAAAGCGAAGAGTGGCGTCCCAATGTGCTCTGCAGCATGCTCTGCAAACATGCATTGCCATTCCTGCAGTGACTGACATGGCTGAAGATTCTGAAGTCTTTCCAGCCATAGCATGGTGTCGTTTCATCTATTAAAGCCAACAATCAAGCTCCAACTTTTGATGGTTTATGCCACCCATTTCTGGTTCTGGCTATGGTTTATCACGGGGTTTACCACATAACGTGAGGAACTGGTGGGTGCGCCTGACCCGGATGCGCTGCAATGCACTTCTGCTCAACCCCAGCAGTGGCATTCTGAATCCAAAAGGTCCTGCGATTGAGCCACTGGGAACCAGGTTCTGGGTCACGAACAATCACCGATCACCCGTATCCGTATCAAACACTATACAGATCTATACAGTAGATGTAGCTAAACAGTTTAAAGATCAGTCCCAGTGTGATACTAATATGTGTGGGGAGATAAACCAATTTGAAACACCCAAACATCATCGAAAAAATGAAGAGACAATAACGACCTTTGCAACTCCTTGGCTTGAGCCAAAGATTGAATCTTGGGAGGTCCAATGCTATTCCTCCCCCTTCTCTTTTGCTAGGAATCACCCGCACAGTAATGGCAATTGAAATGAACATGTGACTAATTAGACTGCGACATTTGAGTAGCTGCTCATGCAAAATACAGTGAAATACATTCGCAATCTTACTACAAGGAAATCTGGAGAGTTTCAATCCGCTGGCAAAGCCATCCCACCCGTCCCACCCGTCCATTTCAAGCCACAGTGGTAGTTGCCGTTGATCGTCTCTCCGAGCAATCCGGGGCTCCATGGTGCACATTTCACACTTGGGTCCTGCCAGCGACTCTGCCCGTGAAGGCGATACAAACATCGGGGTATAACCGGGTACTTAAGGGAGTGCTAAGAGGATACCTCAGCTTATCTCAGGGTTTACTGCTGAATTCAGCAGTTCCCGTTCCCTCTAAATTTCTCTGAAAAACCACGGGCAAAACTTGCGCCCAACTCACACCTGGTTGTCAATGAAGAACCCGCTGTCCGGCAATGCTGCGCACTTGGCCGATGGTTTGTCGGCGTGGAGCCTCCATCAAATAGGGTACCCTTCAGCAGACATGGCTAGCTGGGAATTCCACGAACTAAATGGAGGTTTATAGCTGCGAAATCATCGAACTAAATGGTCAATGGTCCATGTTCCATTGTCATGTTTGATCATCGGAGATTAATGGACATTGTGAAACAACAGCAATATCATCAGCCATTTGGAAACAACTCCTGTGCCAACTTTCAACTCCCAGGCCTACATCCAAAGTCTCATTCGGCTGAAGGGAAAATCTACCCGGACACGCATTGTCCGAAAACATGGGGGTTCAATGGGTTCGTACGATTTTTCCCCTCATGCTATGGGATTGGAAAGAAAATAGGGTACCTCCACCATATGGCATGGAACATCATTCTTCCCATGAAAGAAAATCAAAATTGCCAGAAGTTGGGGAGCCATCAAATCTCTCCATTTCAGTTGGTCAAATCATATCAAATCCATCGATTTTCTTTTTTAAATCCGAAGCTTAGATGTTGAAATTCTCATTTCTGATCAATGAATCGGGGCACATCTTTGGTATAAATCCATTAGTTCAAATTTCTGTAGATTTTTGGTCGCTTTTAATCAAGAATAACCAGGATGTCACCAGAATCCCTCAACTCAGCGGTCCCACCTGTCGCACCACTGATCTGCATGAAGGAAAGTGGCCAATCCTCCGGCACTGCAGCCTGAGACCATGAGGTCAGTGGCCTCCTTCATGCCACGTTTCTCCATCAAATCCTGAGAATCAGAGCCCGGGTTCTATGGAGCAGAATAAGCACACACACTTCTGGGTGTATGTATGTGTGTATGTATATATATAATATATACATATATATATATATGTGTGTGTATATGCATGTAAACCAAATACATATTCAAAAAAAAAAATACATATAAGTATTTGGTTTTGGTTCAATTCCAGTACATAGATGGAACATATTAGGGTTTCTCACGGTGAGAAACCGGTCAAATGGAGAGAACACACTTAAGAAACACCCTATATCACACAATCTCACGCAACATCCATCAAAATGAGTATGGACGATAAGAATTCACAAGGACTGAACTGGTTGGCACCTGGGTTTTCAACCCCTTATTGCGGGGTTGCTGCAGTCACCAGCAATGTACTGAGACCAGCCCTCGGCTTTGTCCACCAATGACTCATGGGGTTAATTCTCTCAAAATCCAATCGTTTGAGCCTCAAAGAAAACGGGATAAAACATCGCAATTTTGGATTTTACATGTTTATCCCATTGAAATGGAGAAAACAGGAGAAAACCAAGTGGCATCCGGGCTTTCGGGGCACCAAAACATCCAAAACGGTCCTCCGCGATGGCTTCTCTGATTCGCTTGCCACGGAAAAAGAGCGACTGGTTCTTGTAGACTGTGACCTCACGAAGCAATCAATCCCAGGGCATGGCAGTGGTACCACATGAAACAAAGAGATGTCGAATAGGTATGCTATGGTCAAAACATGGTATAATATGACTAATTATACATCAGTGCACACACACACACGCATGTGTATATATATATTGTATACATGTAATGTATTGTAACGTATACGCAACATTATATATCGCTACTAACGGATTGATGATGATTGATGACCATCCCCCAATATGGCTATATAATCCAACTTTTTATCATGACATGTAAAGAAGATGTATCACAGCTGGTATTTTATGCTTGAGCAGAAACATAGTAAAGCACTCTTCACCAATGAGAGCAGCGAACAGAATGTAATGATTAGTCACTATCATCATCAATCCGGGTACTCATAATAGTCATCAGTGTCTTTATTGTAATTCATTATCACCATCATTTACATAATGTCACATTGGTTTTTAATATCCCCATAATGTCGCAACTCCGCAAGCAAAGATGGAACTGTGTTTCCAGGATGGCATAGACGATGTTTTCCACGTACTTTCCGAGGTCACCAACTGTTCTACCAGCCATCAAAAATTATAAGCAAACAAACAGAGTATCATTACTATCATCATGGAATTATTCCCTATGTCTGTGTCGCAGGTGATTTTCGGGATGCTGAAGCTTTACCAAGCAACTGTCTGGTTGTTGCCACTGAAGCTCCCACCGTCACCTCTTGGTTTGGCTAGTGGCTTCTATATCACAGAAAAACAAAGGTCAATTGGGATGATTTAAGAATCTCAACCCAGAAAAAAACATGAAACATGATTTGAACAAAGACATGGTTAAACATAGGTCACTTCGTTTCCTACACCCAGCTGCGTGTCAGAAGCGGGAGGTGTGTGCTCATTGGGGCTGGCGGTTGGGGAATTAGATTAACCACGTCAATATTGCAATTATAATCCCATTGTGCTTCTCAAGCTTTCTTTAACACTGTAGCTTGATAATCTTTGCTGGTCAATTGTTCTACTCCCTGATTTTGGCTGGTGGTCTCGGAGTATGAAAGTGTCTCTCCTTGCTCGACGTGCAGCAACTGGGTGTCTGGCAATATGTCATAAACACCATATTCCAATTGTGCCTTAGTGTCATGGCCAGGGTCCTAGGGTCTCCGCCAGAGTCCCCAGGGTTTCATGAAACTTTGACTTTGACCATTTCAAGTGTCTGGTTCTCTACAATTATTGGCGCTTCAATGTTCAGCCAGGAGACATCAGCGGGTTTTCTCTGGCATCTCTGGAGAAATAGCCACCTCAAGCGTCCCATTTTTGTTGGGACTATCCAGCTATGTCCAGGGCAACTCAGTGGCCAAACTGGATGCAGGTCACGGTTTCGAAATATCCATCAACACAGCGGCTTTGTGGCCCTGTTGATGGCAACACATCTCCACTATCTTCGAACCTCGAGCTGCCCTTTCGTTTCCTACTTCTGCCATCCGATGATTTTAAATCTGCGTGTTTTTTTCAAATGGAGTTTTCCCAATGGTTTTCCACTATTTTTCCAGCTTTTGTCCAGGACCTGAATCTGGGAGACTTCGGGACCCCTCCCAAGTACCAAGCGACCATAGAGAGTGCGCCTCTCAGGATATGCCTTGGAAGATCTCAGGTCCTTAGGCGGCGGCCCAGCGAAACACCCATGACCAAACAGTTCTTGTCGGGGACAATCTCGGGGAAACTCCTAAAGTTGGCTTTAACACTGTTTTATCATTGATTGTGAAATTTCGGATGGCAAGTCCTCTCCAAAGTTCGGATGTGTTTAACTGACCTTGCTGGACTTGGAGACACGTTACCAGGTTATACCATGTTATACCAGGTTACCAAATTTGGGATGATTCATGATGATCCCCCTTTTATTTCTCCTTAACATCTTTTTTTGGGTCCCTTTGAGATCAAGATGCGGTTTTGGAACGTCCCAAGCAGTCGTCCAATGATTCGCACCAACCTCCTCCTTCATGGTGAATATACCTGGTTGAAATTGGTTGAAGGCTTAGAGTTCTTGTCTACTACGGGGCCAAATGGCCCAAGCGATGAACGTGGCAACTCGGCAATTCTTTTCGGGTGATATTCAGCAGGTCTGCCATGGGTGGGACATGGTCCGAGCGGCCACTTATTGATGCCATCGCCACTACCTGCCAAGATCAACCGCGACGCAACTCCAACACCTTCACAGAACAACTTGTTTGTTTGCCTGGCCTTGAGTCGCACCACAGTAATCCCAATGCCATAAGCCATCCCAATACTCCGTCAACAACCATTTGGCGCCACATCACCAATTTCACGAACATTCATCCACCATCAGAATCATAAATGCCCAGTTGAGGATGGTTTAACCTCGCAATTTCATGCAATTTCGCCTTGTTCAACGTCCAATAACGTCCAACATGTCCAGCGCACCCGGCCTTTTTCCAGGTAATAGGCTGCAGGTGTTCCATCCAAGCAAACAGCTCCCGTGGAGGCTGCAGCCTGTTTCAGCTGCTCCAGCTTAAAGCTGCGAGTGTTTTTACCCATCACCGTCTTGCCATATCTTCAATAATTATGGTGTATCTGAACATACCTTTCAAGAAATCTATATAATCAATCTTCACCATGTTTCCATCACCAGCAACTACCTATATCAACCACCGAAGGATCTCATCATAGCGCCCCCTGAATCACCTGCCTCGGTGAGTTCGATCTTCACAGCATCATCCGCTGCAGCGACCGCCAGCAACGCCCAGCGCCACATAGCGTTTTTTCAAAGGAGCACGCAGAGGAGGCAGGAAGGCAATGGCTTGGTTGAAACATGGCCATGGGATTCATGACGGAATTTGAAATGACACCAGGGCAAAATGGTATTGACGTGGGATTCAATCACTGGATCATTTCTTCAAAGTCGAAGCCATTTAGCCATTTGATCAACAAGAACAAATAATTAAGTAATTGACTCAAGTGACTCAAGTGACTCAAGTGACTCAAGTGCAAGGTAAGACACTGAAATCATCAAGTGCTTCATCGACTTATTCATCAGGGTATTCATCCCCAAAACAGTGGAGTTGCTATGGGGACCCTCTAGCTCCTTGGCTTCCCGTTGGTGCCATAGCCATAGCTCCCAACTGATGATGAATAGGGTTCTGATATATTCCCCAATTAATCAATATGATACCCATGAAAAATCCCACGATCAGACTGATTCAAACTCCTCTCCGTGCCCATGGATTCCCAATTATCTACCGTTCCCCATCAAGGTCTCTATCAATTACATTCAATTACCATATTCCTGTATTGATCATATTGTTGATGGTTCAAACCTCTATAAAGAATTTCTTTATCCTCCACTCATGGGGAGCAACAAAGACCGAGCTCAGTTACAGGGTGGCCGAAGAAGGTCGTGTCATTGGCAGACGTCTTCCCGGAGCAGTCCTTGGTGGAGCAACGGTGGAAGTCCACCCTCCCTAAGATGGGAATATCCTTGACAAAGCCTATATTCTATCTACTTCAGGCTGATAATGCGTACATATCCTCTATCTATCTTGCTCTAAAACTAAATAAATAAAAATATACATATGATATATAGTATATATCAAAAGATAAATATAGTATATAATATGAAATAATATATATATATATAATATCATATATAATATGTTAAACAACATATAATTTATAGGATATAATACATAATATATAAATTATTATATATCATATATTATACTATATATATGTATATAATATATTATACAATATAAAAATCAAATAATATAAAAGTAAAAAATAAAATAAAATACATATATATATATATATCTCTCGCTCTCCCCATCGCGATGAAGTCTTGTATATGTTACTTTGGGTTATTATAACATGATTGCCAAGACTCAAATCATGTCATGACATAAGATGCAACTGTAGCCGTTTTATAGGACCTTTTGATGTCTATGTATTGTACCTACATGCTGCGAGCCAATGGCACGATTCGTGAGAATCATTGGCAATCCATCTGGATTCTGTTCAAATGCGAGTGTGGTCTGTGTTTTCAACCCGCCGCACAGATATGGTTCAATGTGGATGGTTTGATACGGCTATGAGTCCAAAACCTGGTAACCCCGGTCCCTTGGGTATTCTTAAGTCACAGCTGGTTTATGGATATTTATTCCCCAGTGATATGGTAATAAGAGGGTTTCACCCATCCCCATTCCAAAAATCAGCAGCCCATTGGTCCCCGACTGTGCCAGCTGGATGGCATGCCCCTGGCGCCAGGGGTCGGAAGCAATGACCTTCCACGGTTGCTACATGTTGCTACCTCAGCAATGGTATATTAATGGTGATTAATGGTACACTAATGATGATAAATGACATATATTAATGATGATTAATTAATGCTTATGATTATTGATGATGATAAATTGGATTACCTTCTGGTTAATCAAACATGGCTAGCTGCGAAATAAATGCAGGTTTATAGCCGGCAAAGACATGGAACTAAACGGGTTTAAATGGGGAATTTTCTTTCACCACCATATTTACTTACCAAAGTGTATCCATAAAACACGTCCATAACTGGGACGAAAAACTGAATCCTCCTTCGCTCTCACCCAAGCATATCCATTAAATCCCTCCATCAGTTTTGTGAATACGCCTGTGTACACACATACACACACACATATTATACACACCCTCTCACACACACATAATACATGTAAAGTATACGTATATGTTTATGTATATGTATATATATATGGAATATCATATCCGTGTCTACATGTATATATCGTATAACCCCATATATCTACTAGCGACGGAACTTCCTGAGCTCCAGCACCCTCACAGCTCCAGCTGTTTGCGGCCGCTGTCGGATCTGGAGCAGCGGCCAGGACTTTTCGGACGTTGTGACACCAGCAGGTTCCATGGTTAATAAATAGGCACCATGGGACGTGGGAATACAATGAAGATGATATCACATGGGATATACTGGGTTATGGTATGGGAGAATATGGGGTATAACGGTGTGATAGTGCAACTAACCAACAGTCAAGCAGGTGTAAAAAGACTTGGGTGTGCAGCTGGGATTAATGGAATAACCATTGCACTATAATCATTGTCACGTGTGATCAATTTCATGGTGTATAGGGTGGAGGATGTATAGGACTGTAAAGTTCTTAGGGTTCACCCAGTACTGAGCTGAAAGGTTCCTATTTAATCTAAGGGTTGAAAAAACTCAAAAAACCAAAGTGCCGAGTTGACGTGCGATTTGCATTTCAACTTTGGCTCAGGACTTCTCAGCCTGAAAGGAAAAAGGTTGAGACGCTGCTACTGGGAACCCAAGCGTGTTAACCCCGCTGACGAGGGTTATGAGCGCAACGCAGGTTCAAGTTGACCCGACCGTGCTGAAGCGATGGCAACTGGTGACAGCAGCTCTATTCTAGGATCTGGCTTGGTGAATGTGAAGGACAGCTCTGAGAGCTGTCAGAACCTTTTTTCTGCCTGTGGAGGGTAGCGATGGGTGGAGGAAGAGAGCTGGTTAGTCCTCCTAAGGAGGTGCTGGGTCGGAAGGAATGGGCAGCCCGGAAATGAACTACATGGTTCGAATGATTGCCTTGGAAAATCAGCGACTTCAACAAGAATTGGAGTTGATGAGAGGCTCGGTGGCCCGTGTGGATCGCAAAGCCTTCCTCTTGGACAAGTTCAACGAGGTGTCATGCCGGTTATGGGAGGTGGTCAAGAGGCTCGAACTCTAACTCGTGGATCGGTTCTACAGGCGGCGGAGCGAGTGGGGCTAAGCCTTCTAGGGATAGCTGGTGTGCTGACTGACAAGTGGACGTGTGGAGGGGGAGGATCAAATGTGAAGTCCAACCTTCTTCAACTCTTCGATGGGGCTACATCTACGGGCTACATTTACAACTTCGGGAAAGGTGGCGGTTCCAAGTGCACCCTCTTATCAATGTCCCAGGGACTAATGTGGTGGGAGGAGGATCAGCGGTGGAACAAGTTGCCCCTGGAGGCGGATTGCTTAGTGGTGGTGGTGTGCCGTGTAGCATGTCGTCGTCATCGGGGGGAGGAGGTGGCCCTGTAGGTGGAACCCCAGCGCCGCCTGTGAGTTTTGGACCTCCCGGAAATGGCCATCAACAAGGAGGTGGTGGTCAACAAAATGGTTAAAGCGGGGGTCTGGCGATGGGTCATGCAGCGGAGGTGGAAATCCATCAATGGGAGGTGGACCGCCTACCGGGGAAACCGCCGAAGAACTTGCTGGAGAGCCGCCCGCCATTGAAGAAGGTGGAGGGGAAACCCGGGGAGGAATGGCGGTGGAACCACCACAAAAGGGTGAAGCGACTTCGGAGGTGGATGTGGCGCCATCGGGGAGATTCGGGCGTCGAGGAGGTGAGGGCGGGGGATACACCCATGAACCCAACCACAGCCACTGAAGGTGGAAAATATGCCGCCACCAGGTACTCAACCCTCTCAAAGGTGGAATTTTTAAGTCCCAGAGTTTGAGAGGGGTCCTGGCAGGAGGAACACCAAGGTTTATTCTCATGGAGAAAGGAGGGGGATTGAAACCAGCTCGGTGGAGCAAAGGGCCATGGAGGCGAATCAAGCAGCAGAGGCGAAAGGGGCTGGAAAGATGGGAAGCCAGCTCGAAGCACTGCTGGAGTCAAAGGGAAAAGGAAAAGTCAAGGCCCAAGCCAAAGGAGGGGGGAGCAGGGTGGAGGCCTCCAGTGAAAACGCCTCCCATCAAGCCTCCTTTATCACTCCGAATGGAGGCAGTGCCCATGTCAAAGTCAACGGCCCAAAAGAGGGAGCAGCTCCAGTACCAGCTGCAGAACCTAAGTCTTCCAGTGAAACGGCAGCAGGGTGGATCATCGAGGGGGAGGTTGGTCTATCGACCCAAAAAATCCAAAAAGGTGATCGCAAAGAAAGAGGAGGAGGAAGAGCCGAAGGCCACAGGAGAACCTGGGGTAGCTGACGAAGCTCCGCTACCAGAAACAGGAGCTAATGGCGGCCCGAACACCGACCAAAGCAGCGAGCTCTGCTGTGGTCCGCTGGAGCCAATGAAGCTCCAAAGGAGGAGGTTCCAGAGACTGAAGAGCCGGAGTTTCCTGACTTTGACCATCCGGATGATGACGATGATGGGTTAGAAACCACCTGGGAGGAGAAAAATGAAGAAGAGGAGGTCAGAGAGGAGAATGTTCCGGTGGAACCTGAAACACCTCGGACATGGCCTTTGGTGGGGAGATTTGGACCTGCCACTATGATGTCCCCGCGGGACCTCATGGTCAACACACGCAGGCGAGCACTCAACGAAATGATGAGAATGGTGCTGCCTGATGAGCTCACCTTGAAGATCAACTACAAGCCGGGGGCCGGCTACGATGACTTCTATGGGTGGGAGTACAGTGATGATGTCTCTGGGGACTTGGGCTTGGCCGGGCCGGGCGTGGAGGCGCCAGTTCTTTGACTCCACTCAGGAGGAGCTGTACTTCGAGATCGATGTGTGTGGACATAGGGAACTTGGGATGGTTCACCGACGGCTACAAGTTCATGAGTCTCCAGGAGCGCTGTGGCCGACGTGCTTTTTCCGCAAAAGGCGGGCCACTTTTGAGAACCCACTGACCCAGAACAGTGGGAAAATTTGTGATCACACCAACTCGCACCAAGCTGTGAGGGGGAGCACGTGTGATCAATTTCATGATGTACAGGGTGGAGGATGTATAGGACTGTAAAGTTCTTAGGGTTCCCCCAGTACTGAGCTGAAAAGTTCCTAATCTAAGGGTTTGAAAAAACACAATAAACCAAAGGGCCGAGGTTGACGTGCGATTGGCATTTCAACTTTGGCTCAGGACTTCTCAGCCTGAAAGGAAAAAGGTTGAGACGCTGCTACCGGGAACCCAAGCGCGTTAACCCCGCTGACGAGATTATAACCCATTTAAGTTGGGATATGGCCTCCCTTCAAGTATAGTTTTATATCCACTTATAAGTGAACTGCACCACGAAGAAGGTTGCCGATGTAGCGAACTTGGTGAGATTTCTGGGTTTCAATCAATTCCAGCTATACCAAGCTATACCCAAATTTCATCCAAATTTGATGGTGATTACTGCGGAAGGAAATATATTCAGTGCTTTGCTATCGTTCTCCTTGTTCCTGAGAAGCCACCAACGGAAGGATCATATCCTAAACTCCTCGATGCTGGCAACTTCCTGCTGAATCACCCCGCCTGTGGGTCGCTCTGGCTGCGCGTTAGCCTCAGGGGAAACCATCAACAGGATCTGTGACTTGCTGGGGCCTGGGAAGGGGATGTATTGCCATGTTTCATGGACCTACCTCCAGCTCCCACGTGGTTCTTGAGCAACACTTTGCGAATACCTTCCGGTAATCAAACGTGGCAATGGAAAATCATCCATTTAGATAATAATTCCACTACCACCATTGTAAGAAACATCCACATGTGCCTGACATTTCCCGAAATATTCTGACTCTAACTGGAGGTTTTAATATGTTTTACCCCCAAATCATCAATTTTAACAAGCTTTCCCATGAAATAAACCCTCCAGCTATTGGGGTACCCCCTGGGCTGTCCCAACTGCCGGGGATTTTGCATGACTGCTCCCGCAGATTGCGGCCTGGCCTCGGAACAGCGCAAGAACGTTGGGATTCCAAACGTCAGAAATCCCAAGCGATTGATCGTGATTTGATCCATTTTCTGGCTGGTGGTCAAGCCACCCTCCTGAAAAATGGGGAAGTCTGTCATTGAGGCGGGTTTAGATAGATAGATAGATAGGTAGGTAGATAGATAGATAGATAGATAAATAGATAGATAGATAGACAGATAGATAGATAGAGAGAGATATATATATATTATAATTATATATCATTATAATTCATTATATATCCGACCAGTTTTGTGTTCATCGTCCAACTGCAATCAAGTTGCACGAACCTTGGGCCTGACAGCTCAAATCGTTCGTTTTCGCTGATCGAAAGTTGTGTTGGTGATGCTCAGCCGGGTGCGCTTCTGAAGAGTTAGTACATCAATAGTACGGGTCAGAATTGGTTGCCCCCAATGTGTAGCAATGTCTAGCGCCACAAATGATGCAAAGCACCTGAAATTCAGGTCGCACATTTGGATCCATACAGTAGGATCCCATAGTCCAATCCTGCAGCTCTCTCCATTTCAAGTGCCATTTCCTCTCCACGGAAGCACCTCTTTTTTCTCACCGCTTTCGATGGTCCTTCGCAACATATAACTTGTTATATGTCACTACCCCTCGAGCCGGTCAACCCCAAATGGCTCAGCACCCCTTTTTTTGCCTAAGGTCTGCTCTTTCCTTGCGATTTGCGGGATACTTCTGGGATGTACATCCCATAGATCAACGCCTTTGGATCTCTTAGTCTGGTTTTTTTCGTCGTTTTCATGGCAAAGATCGCTTCACAACTTCACACCTTTGGCAGACCACAGAATGCGTCCCTTGTTGCACATTGCTGTGGCGGCTTGGGCACCCCATCCCCGATCTCCCCGCCGCGTCCGCTCAGAAATCCGTCAGGACGCCCATCTGCGAAGTCTTCGCGCGGAGCTCCTCTGTGGAGGTCTTCTCCAAGTGCTGCAGAAACTTGGTCTCGAAGTAGTGCAGGTAGGGCTTCCTGAAAAAGTGTGGAGATCTTGGTGAAAGCAACATGCTTGATGTTTGATGATGTTGGTGTAACATACTTTAAGAACCAATTTAAGATTTATGAAAGGCCTAAGATGGCCTAAGTTTCTGGTAGAATATTGTTTTATTCCCATATGCTGCCAACTGCTGCTACAGAAACTGACAGAAACCGTCCCAAGGGTTTCTCAAAAAATTCAAGCTAAGACAACAGGACTCGCCAGGTCAGCTTTCAAGATTGGAATTCCACCAGTTTTCCCGAAGGAAGTTGTCCAAATTACGATCGGCCAAGCTTCAAGGATGTCTGCGACACATCTCCACCATTTGCTTGCCTGGGTAAGGACGCTACGAAACTGAGAATCTTGGAACCAAGAGAAACACACATATGCACAGCACTCTCTCTCTCTCTCTCTCTCGCTCTCTCTCCCCCTCCCTCCATCCCTCCCGCTACACACAGCACTCAGTGTGAACATTTGCGATTGAAAAACCTAGAAATCATGGAGCATATGCTAGATGCGGTTCCATGAGCGAATTCTAATTCGATCTTGGCAGCTCCCTCATCTATGACAAACTTCAAGGAGTTCTTGGCGTCAAACTTCCCTCCATCTAACATGAAAAGGACACCTTAGAATCCCATACACCTTTGATCCTTTGAGGTCACAGCGAGCTCTGGATTGCTACAAGCCTGGTCATCCCAAATACGAGTACTTCCTGACCCATCCCGGATCCATCCCCATCACGTGCCCGATGTGTTGACAGGCAACAGCTCCTCTACCAGTTTGCCAATGGTGGGAACTTGGGCCGGATCAAAGGCGTTCACGCCGTCTGGATCGATGGGTACACAGACCCTGCCAGTCTTTGGATGCACCACGAAGGGCGACTTCAGCAGATGGTTCATCCTGTGGGGGTTTCCGAAGACGTCCCCCAACAAGAACAAGACTTGTACAACACATCTTAAGACAGGTCCCCAATAGATTCCCCAGGATTAACACATTGAACCTAACCAAATCATCTTCAAATCCAAGGATCTGTTTGCTGACATTGATATCCAGCCTTGGAGCAAGCTTGGCAACAAAAATGTGTCTCAATTTCGCACCTCCAAAAAGGAAGGAAAGGCAGGAAGCCACAATCACCATGTAATCTCAAAACAATCTATGACACGAGTCAAGTTTCGCCCTCAGGCAATTGAACGTAGTTTTGCGAACTCAATGGGCCATCTATACCCCCGCCACTTCGCAAACTATGTTATATAAATAGTCAAAGGGTAACGGCAGAACATCGCAGAAAAGTTCTCAGTTCGAGCTGCCGTGGGTAAGTGAACTGAATGGTGACATCCTTCAACAAGACTTTGGCCTCCAACCGCTGCTTGCTGCTCAGATCACCTGGTTGATCTGGTTGGAAATTAACAGCGACGAGCCCACGACCGGTATCAAGTGGGGCATGAGGATTTATGTGTATTCAATTGTTTTCATCTATTCATATCCATTTCACCTCCATTTCATATCCTGTTGACATCCATTTCATATCCAGTTTATATCAATTTCATATCATTCATATCCTTTCATTTTATCTCAATTTTATCTCCATTTCATTCTGATTCGATCCATTGGAGAGTCACCAAAAAAAATCGCCGGCCCTTCATGCTACAAACATCTGGCTCCTGGACCTATGACTATCTATGACTAGCGTATCACAGGCTGTTGCCCATCGTAGCTGAGGACCTTCAAATAGCGAACTGGAAGCCATGGCCCATTCAGGTCGACGATTTACCTATTAAAAGCTGGCGAGTTCCCACAGACTGCTTGAAGCCCTAGGTCCTAGAGGATACTCATTCCCCTGACTTTTGTTCAGTTCCGTGGATGCTACTTGACCGCATATTCTTCTGCATAGACCAGCAGAAAGGAAATCCATACAGTAACTCATAGAATATCATATTTATCAAAGGACATCAATCCTCTTTCACAAGTTGTGAATCCTACCAGTATAGGATAGAACTGATAGAACATGATAGAACTACGTATAGACATAGAGCTGATATCATAACTCTCAAAGGATTATATATCCACCCGCTTCACCGGGTCACCACTCTTGCGCTCATTGGCGATCTTCTCGATCTTCCTCCAAATCTGCATGGAAGTTGCCTGAAGCAAACACGACATCGGCATCTTGCTGGGGAAAAATAGGGAAAACATCCACCATGTCCATCTTCAGTAAGTTTTCCGATGGAAATTCTGACTGCTTCGCAGACTGAAGCCCCAGTTGCAAGGCAAAAGCGAAGCTTTCTCCATACCGCACAACTCGTGCGAGTTCAATCGCACGGCATATCTTTTATCTGTTTTTTTCATGAAAGTTCCTCAGGTTTCAGCTCAATGTTGAACGCAGAAAATCTACATGGACTACTCCTTATCAGGTGAAATGACCAGCAGTCTGGGGACGTCAATCACCCGTTATATTCATTATATTCTTCCATAATCCATGGTACGAGGGTACGAGTAACTGCCATACTACGGTGATTTCTTAATGAATCCACCATGGAGTTATCCCCACACCACCATGGTGGTTCAAAATTCAGTGGTCAGTGGCCACCAGTGGCCACCAGTGGTTCCAAGTGCAGCAGGATGACTGTTGTATTCTCCTCGTTGATGTACTTCTTCAAGGCCTGCTGCTCGGCAACCTGGCCGTGATCTGACAGCCAGTTCTCTTATTTCAATTTGGCAAACGGCAAAGCCCAAAAAACAAATGATCATCCCAATGTAATGTAAAACCATTCGTTCATGATGTTTGAAACGGAGACTTTTGCAATCATGTTTTTTTTAAACATCTAGCTATTTACAAAATTGGATGATCAAGCCAGTGTTGCTTCGGAGTTTGATTCTTGGCGAAATATTTCAATATACCGTACCCACCCACAAATAAACACGATCATACACATCATGAAAATCAAAGCTTTTGGACGATATTCTTGGAACGTCTGACAATGTCTGACCATGTCTGACACGTCTCAAGATTCTCAAGCAAGGAACTGAAAAGGGCTCCAGGATTCTTTCCAAGTGTGGCAGATCCTTGCGCAAAATGTCTTGGCTCTGCAAGATCCCGTTGGGCTCTTCAAACCACTTCCTGAGCGCCCAGCGTCAATTGATGCCATGAGCTGAGCTGGGGGCGAAAATCGACAGTTGAACCAGGTTTTCCAAGTAAATATGGAAGCGTCACGTAACATTTCCCATCATCCAGTATCATCCAGTTCTGGGAATGTCTTGTAAATTGGAAACATGTTCATCTTATTTCCAATGACTATAGGTATGATGTTTAGAATTTGCCTTGTCGGCCATGCTTGTCTAGGACATGGGCAGTAAATGGCACAAAATTATCTATAGGTAACATTAGGTAACCATATTATGGAGGACCACGTCATACCCGTCTGCCATGCAGCTGCAATAGTCCCTTCCCCTGTCCCACTGGGGTCACTGGGGGCTTGATGGGGAACCGACCAAAATGGATTGAAACCCAAACTGGTCTTGGACGCTTGGTAGCCTCACAGGTCACACACACACACATATATATATATAGAATTATATATATATGATTTTCCTGCATTTTCTGTCTTGTTTTTATAGGTGTGCCCCAATTGTACAAATCCAAAGATGAAGCAGCCCCAAACCCAGTAGTTCATCATCATTTTCCGCAACAAACACCTGATGAATATTTAGAATGTACATGAATGTACTATGTTTTGAATCTTCCCAACAAAACAAAACACACGGTCAATTTGTATCCATTTGTCATATGGTCAGTTTTGAATCTTTTGGCTTTTTCCATTCGGTCGTGCCATGCATCTTGCAGATCTTATAGGCTTCCTCCACGGAGGGATGAAGTTCATCGCCTGGACAAATCATCCCAAGACTGGGTGGTTAATCACAGGGGATTGTCATTGGATGTTATTGGCAATCCTGGCAATTGGTTTTTTTCCATAATTTTGGAAAAGCCCCCAGGATTTTTGGAAAAACTCAGAAGGGCCCAAACTGGAAAGTATTGGAAAATGTTCGCTCTCTCTCTCTCTCTCGTTTTTTTTTTAATGGTTGAACCTCAACCACAGAGAGACTCAGCCAGCCAAGGCACTCCCAAAGAATTTCAAATCCTGGGCTCGGGTCCCAATGGACCCATAAGATTGGCGATCTCGTGTCATCTGACTATGTCTAACCATATCCAGCTCATATTGAACCGTTCTTTTTCGAGCATATATACGTATATATATATATATATGTACATGTGTGTGTGTGCGTGTGTGTGTGTATGTGTACATCTATTTCTATATGATGTATGTGTATAATTGACTATAATTGTGTATATGTAATTAAACATGTGTTTCATATAAATACAGTATAAATATGTATAAATACAATTACTGTATATGAAACGCCAAACCTTGAACATACCCTTTTCAGAAACCCACTTAGAACGCCTTTCAAACGCCTTCACAAACACATCAAAACACATCATCAACATCCTGGTCCTGAGCCAAGGTTCTGCTCGGCACTTCCCAGCACCACTGGAGACCAGTGTTAGATACTCCGCCACCGCTGAGCGCTGCTCGTTGCTGAGCTTCCGTGCTTCGGTGTCACAGACCCAGCAGTGGACGCCGCGCCGGCCCGAGTAGACGAAGAGAATGTGCTGAAAACCAAAGTCCTGGAGTGTTTGCCGGTTTGTTTTGGGTCCAACAAGTTTGAAACAAGACAAGGGGTGTTTTTTGTTTTTTGGCAACCATAACTGTAATCACTAAAGCACCTGATTTATGGCATGAAACGTACAGCTACGATAGCAACGACACGAATTCTCGCAGGCCTTTAGGGATTTCATGGGATTTCAATGGATTTCACATGATTTTTGGGATTAGTGTGATGGTTGAATGACCCAAACATCTGGCAGTGGCAACCCTGGATTAGATTATACCGCGAAAACATGTCTGTTAAACAATGGGCCCTTTGATTGGAGGAGGACTTTAGTATCGAAGTATGCCTCGGAGAATCTATCAACAGTTTATTATCTATGCGGTGACTGCCATAGGATTTTGTGCCAAAGTTGGGTAGCAATCGGCTTGCAATCTGCATCGTTTGTCATCTTAGTCAACCACTTTCACCATCCTTTGGGGAGTCAATAGCTTTTCCCCAGCTGGGTGATGGTTGATGGTCATCAGCGACTGCTCAGGCTAAAGGGACCACAAAGACGTTGCAAAAGAGGCTCATCAAAAATTCATCAAAATTTCATCAACTAACATCAAAATAGATCCAAATAACCTGCTTGAAACTCGACGCATACCATATCATACCATGTCCATGGGATCAATCCGCAAAGGTAGTGACCTTTGCCTGTCCTGCTCCAATGCTCTCTTCAAGACTTGAATGGCGGCCTCAACGGATCAAGCAGTGAGGTCAGGGATACGACTGGGGATATCAAGATGTATCAAGGCAGCAAGCCGCCTGATGTTGCTCTATTGACTCTATTCAATTCTATTCAGGGGAAACAAGACTCCAGATTCCCAGCAAATCTGCTGACCGTGGCCTTCATGAAGGTCCAACATTTCAAGCACAGCTTGGAGCCGGTGCAGCAGGTGCGGATGTCATCATAGTCATCCATGTCGATATCAAAGACCAGCTCACGTTCCAAGGGTTTGTATGCCTTGGGCAGCAAGGGTTGGACCCATGGTGGTCAAACAGCGGGGATGTGTTGGATTCAAGACGTATTCGAGTCTCAAAGGAGCAATTTTGGATTGAAGAGTTGAAGACTGAGGTCAGTCACATTTGAGGATGAAGCTGAATTAGGTGACTACCCTGTGGCGAAGTCAGTGAGCTTTGAGTTGCAAGGAGAAGCTTTGCACCAATCCATGAATGCACCAGAAGCGGCCGGAATCGGCACTATTAAAAACTGAAAGAAAAGACATCCACCTAGATCTATTGAAATCTCTAATATTCTCCAACTATCTTGGGCACAAATCTGACCTATGGATTGGAAGGTTTCTGGAAATCGGAGCCCTCCTCAACATCCCACGATTCCCACGAAGCAAAGAGGAGTTACGTCCTTTGAGACCAGGTTGTGCTTCGATGGTGCATGTGAAAACACCGCCCCGATCTCCATACGAATCGGCTGGCGCTCCAACACTTTTGCCTTGTACTCCTGCCAGATCTGCCAAAGCATGTGTTGGATCTCCATAAAGCAAGGGCCTCAACAAAGGACCCTGATCTCCAGATTTTCGATCCATGGATTTCCCTCTCTTGCTTTCGCCTGTTGTGGAAGTCACAGAATATTTGGAATGATTTGCCCAGCTTAGGCAGTCCTCCATGTCCTTGAAACACTGGTACCTGCAGAAGATGTCCTGAAAGGCGCTGGGACGCTAGGACGCTGGGACTGCACTCAGTGCAGCCGGCCCTAAAGGAAATCCGAGTGGCGCCCTGCAAGACGAAGGTGAACTCCCGGCGCTGGAAGAAATCTTTTTGAACTCCCTGGCTGGCACTCTTGGGGTCGTTGCGATAGCTCAGCCACCTGGCACAACAAACTTTGGCAAGAGTACATTTATGGCCTGGAGAAATTTGAACCATTTTACCAACCTGAAAAGTTCGGCCACCAATCTTCTGTTCCTCCTTGGCCATTCTTGGGGTGATGGTTTCAACATGTTTCAACCACTTCAAGAGATCAGGATATGAAACTAGCATCAACGGTTCTTGCACTGCCCCACCTGAACATCTGCAGGAATGGAAAGAACTTCTCCTTAGTATCAACTGGTTGGAGATGAATGGCTGCAGCCGATGTCTCCAATCTTCGGAATTGGATGTCGGCTGTCTCAAAAAGGCGAAGCCAATGGCGCTGAAACACTTGAAGGAATGACCCAGGGAAGTGATGGGCATGGGATGTATGGTCAAAGTTATCACCAAAACTTGGATGATTCAATAGCAAGCATGACTGTTCTTTGCTGAGGAAACAATATACTTCAGGCATGCTGAAAACTATTGAACCAAACTGGCTGTCCAAGCTGCGTAGTAGATCTTCAGCAGCCTTGGTGCCAGGAAATCTAGGGGTTGATGCAGAATCGGGACCCTCAACGACAACCACCCACTACTAAAATCTACGACACTGTTCCTCTATGAAGAAACAGGGCTGAGGTAGGAAGGGGGGCATATCACGTCTGTGAGAAACAAACCTCTTGAGGTCTCTTTGAGAAGGCCGCAATCCAGCTTACGTGGCTTACGTCCTGCATGTCAGGCAACAGTTTTACTAAAAACACACGGCAAGAAAGTGGTGTAGACATCTGTAGACCAGAACGCAGGGGCCAACTTTGTTCTTGGCTTTGCCGCTTTGCTAGAGATGGGGCACACTCCAAATCCATAAAGTCCATTAAAGTCCATCGGTTCATCGTATTCCCAATGCAAATTGCAGTACAGCTTATGACATAATTTGCCATGTCACTCTGGGCTGAAATCCTCGTTTTTCATGAGTTTTTCCTGGCTTTCCATTTCCATCGGCTGCGGGCCGTTGTTCGACATGGCAGCAGGGACAAAAAAACAGCAGGGGTTTCCCAACAAATGCGACGTCTGGAAGATTTGGAGTTGATTGACCTCATGTCTTGAGTTCTGCCTCTTGATGCTGTGGTCCCAGCTTGTCATCTGGGGCTCATTGTAGCTGGTCTCCTACTTTGATTCAAATGCAGCAGGAAAATCCACAATGACATGAAATACTGACCAGAACCTCACCCCACGGCTCAGCTGCTCCGGTGGTCTCAAGGTAGTCCCACTGGCTCACAATCTGCAATCACACCTGAGTCTTTCTGGTAGAAGATCTGGTGGAAAGTCTCCAAAGCACCTTGGTGAAGTTGAAGATCAAAGAGATTCCGTTTTTTCTGTTGGGCAACTCAGGGCAATGGTACATCTATTGCATTTATCAATTTGGGGTCTTGAAAACCTTCATCGCACATCTGGAATAAATGGGTGCAATTCCCATGCACTGCATTCCTTTAGCCTAGGGTTCAACCTGACGAAGCCGACGTCCAACGAGTGATGCAAGCTAAGCTGGATATGACATTAATATATAATATAATTATTCACACTTAAACCCATAAACAGAACCATCAGAAACCAAGAATTGGTTTCTCACAGTCAGCCCAGAACTAAAGGATCTTTCGGCTCCTCAGGGCTCGGCGAATGTGAGCCCCGTGGAACCAAACCTTTGGCCTTTTCGGCGCGCAAGCTCCTGGAACCTGGGAAGCAGAGCCATCAAGCTGGCAGCTTGGACGAGGGGTTAATATATGTTAATATGTTGGCGCCAAATGTGGATTGGTGAGAAAGGACATTTTGCTGGAAATGGATGGAAAGCCAGGAGTTTCAAGCGCCACTGATAGAGGTTTATTTCCTGTCTCTATTTTTTGTTCCTTTCACCGATTCTGGGAATACCCCCAAAAAAGCACAAATACACAGACACAAGATGAATCCAATGGATAAGACAAAGATTTGGCAGCGGGACTTTTGTGATCCATCTTCACCGTTGAGGGCGATGGGCATTGTTTAACAGCATTCTCAGCCATCACCACGGCATACTTCACACCCAGCACAGAAGAAAATGGGAGCCGTTCTCCGGAGAGCAAGCCAAGAACTTCCACCCCAAATATGGTAATATGCCTTGATTCATCCCCATCTCACACATGGTTAACAGGCCCCCAATAGAATTCTCGTGGATTCTCCCTTCATCCGTCATGCAAGGTCATCCGCCCCTGCTTTCAGTGATTTGATCTTGGATCCCCTGCCATCTTTGTACATCATTTTGTTCAGGGCATCCTGCGATGTCATGGCTGATACCCAACAGGGAAGAATCCCGTAGTGCTGCAAATGTATTTGGCTCTCTTATTTGGGGTATTGCCTGGTGTCGATTTGGATGACACAAGATGAGACAAACACACTTGATATGCCAAGTCCTGATCCAAACCCTGCATTCTCCCACTGTTTGTTCAATTTATTTCAAATTTTCAATTTCTATTTGGCTTGCACGTGCAAGATATTGGAAGAAAATAGAGACCACCATAGAAAACCAGCATTTTCACCAACCATATCCATCCAAAATGCAGTGAATTTTCATCACCCCAGCGGATTGCCCGGTGGGCCCGATGGGCCCGATGGGCCCCATGCCTCCATCAGCAGGATGCCTGCAGGGCTCATAGATCCCGGCATGACTAGGACCTCGAGATTGCGCGGTAGGGAGACCCCGAAGCAATGAGGCGCCTACTGAGGTCCCATCCGCAGGAGACGCTCGGCCAAGTGCTACGGCTTCTATGGCTGTGGATGGAGGCAAAGTGCTTACAACTTTGGCAGGGCATCGCTCTAGTGATGATCACATATCACATATGACATATGACAACTATTGGGAGATCAATGTGGATCTATGTCCTATCGGTCCTATCTCTCTCCTTAGTTTGTGATGTGTTTGTCATCTTCTCCACCCCTCTCCCGCAGGGGAGTTTCCTGAAGCCAGCAGTGTCGCGGATGACCCAACAGTGACAAATGTTGGGAGTCGCAAACGTGCTCGCCCATTTTTAGTTGCCCTGATTGGCTAGAAAATGCAAGAAACATCTGTTAGGTCCTGCCAAGTTCTGTAGATTTCGTTGATGCAATCTTTTGTGGCCAAATTCTGTCAGCGGGAGATATCCAAATCTGACCAAATCTGCAGCTACTGCAGTTTCGCCAAGGTCATGTGCGATGGCGGTTCTTGGCTTAACTCCGGGTATATGTTGTGTAACATGTATAGTATATAATTACCCTCCAAATTGGCAGCATTGATTGGACAATCGTAAAAGATCGCAAAATGATGCAAAAACATTATTTTTTATGGGTTCCCCAGGTCTCTATTTTTTCTGGACCCATCTGTTGCTTCACCGAGAGAATTCCTGCGCTCCTTTTGCCGATTCTGCACCTTTGCAGCACTACCCTGGACTCTGCGCGCGCAAGTTGCACGCTACCGAGTCGTCCCCAGCTGCTGGTCATTGGCATTACGCCCCCAGGTAAAACAGAGGGCGGGCTTTGGGCTCCCGCTCCCCCTGAACCCCGAAACAGCTCCTCTTGACTAATTTTCCACATTTTCAACCAGTCTTGGACACTGTATGGCTGAAGTCTGCCAGGGATGAAAAGTGCGGTATATCAATCTCAGGACATCATTTCCCACTGGAGACACTTCTGGAAAAAGTCTTGTCCACCCTGGCTTCGCTCTTGACGTGTGAAGGATGGGATAACTTTATTATCCAGTGGTAGCTGTCGAAAATGACAACTAACCGATCGGGTAAACAAATCAAACATAAATAAAAACACGTGTGGACATGTCTGGACATGTTGTGGTCTCAGAATCTCACGAGTTAGCGGCCTGCCCATGCTTCTTCCTCCCAGATATGTCTACCGAAGCGGCGCTGCGAAGGTGGCCCCTCATCCTTGTGCCTGGTGCTGGGGCCAAATAGCTGCATGAACTCAAAGAATCAAGGGATTGGATGGGTGATGGGATTGGTAAAGGTAAATTTCCAAATCTATATGATATATATATATATATTCATATATACAAATGTTATATATATATATATATATTAAAAAAACAAATGCATGAAAAGCTGGCTATTTTACAGAAGTTTTACACATATCAATGATATCCCAGGATCAATTATCACTCGCCTGGAGTGATTCAGAGCTGGATCCCCAGTAGCATTAGCAACTCATACTTTTTCCGTGGTGGCGTTCTTCGGCAAAACTTCCCAGTCCATGAGTCATAGATTCAACAACAAACTTGTGAATGTGTCTGAATATAACTCCAAACTGCAACCTTAAATGACCTTGATACATGGGGAACATAATGTTCAACCATCAATATTTTTTGGTACCTTGGATGGCTGAAAGCCTTGGGGTACCCGTGCCCTATGACTCTGGCACTGCCGTGCTAGTGAACTGTAGAGAACCTAGCCAGCTAAGAGGGCGTTGATTGTGCTTGATGTGGCCGATGACATCCAGTTGCCCGCAGCAGTTACTTGACATGAATCATCCTCAAACATATCGCGAAACTGGGAAGGATGCATCATGGGGATGCTGGTATTGAAACCGAAACTCATGTTTTCTGGTTCGTGGTTTCAACGGTCAACGCGTCATCTGCGCACATTGAAAGCGAGTCATCTGCGCACATTGCAAACGAGTCATCTGCGCACAGAGAAACCGCGTCATCCGCGCACAAAGAGCGGTCATCCGCGCACATTGAGGCTGGGAACCAGCCATTTCGGGTTTGGTTGGGGGGGTGGGGTGGGGTGGGGTGGGGTGGGATGATAACGTTCATGTTCCTATGCACACACAGGCACAGCAACCTCATCATCTTTCTTCCCGTAGAGCAGAGACAGGCACAGCTCTTTCATGATCAGTTACCGGTGGGGTGGGGTGAGTTAATAAGGTTCATGTTCCTATGCATACAGACGCACAGCAACCTCATCATCTTTCTTGCTGTAGAGCATTTACACGCACTGCTCTTTCATGATCAGTTACCCGTGGGGTGGGGGGTGGCTGTGTAAGATGAGGTGAGAGATGACTTGTGTGAGATGAGTTGTGTGACTTCTGAGATGAGTGGAGTGGTGTGAGACGAGTTCTGTGACTTGTGAGATGAGAGGAGTTGTGTGGGATGAGTTCTGTGAGTTGTGTGAGACAACTTGGGTGAAGTTGAGAGAGAAAGAAGCAACTCAGGAGGAGAAGGAGGAGAAGGCAAGGAATACAAACCTAAAAACAAAAGCCCCACACAGAGATGTGAGGAAAAAAACATAACTTGATGAGTTGTGTGATGATGTTTAAAAAAAAGCTAGAAGAAGAATCATGTTACAGAGATACAATGACAAAATCACACAACAAAAACGTGCACAGACGACCAACCGTCTGACGTGCACAAACGACCCACTTTTGACGTGCACAGACGACCCCCCAACCGGTTTCAACCCCCGGAAAAATAGGAGTCATTGGGGACCATCCCATTTTTTTCCGAGTTTTGGTTAAACATTTATCTTTTAAACATCAAACATGTTCGAAAAATCTGGAACCCAGCCAGGAAACCAAACATGACAAGACAATTTGAAGCTTGTCTGGCTTGTCTCCTCCTTTCCTTTCGGGCCATCTCTAGTTTTGAACTGCTGCTATACGTCATGCTACGTCCAGGACTCGGCCATGTCTGCCCGTTTGATGCGAATTAAATAAGCCAAACCGGCAGATCTGTTGCAACGATGCGCTCAGGTCGGGAGACTCTCGTGTGACTGAACATGATTCATCGATAGCTCAGGAATGATCTAAAGAATTTGGCTTCAGATGTTTGGTCCATGCAAAAACGCATGATTGAATAGAGCATAATTCCCATTCAAGCACACATGTTAGTCACTTTTATAACATACAATTCTATACAGTATATAGTATACGCGCACATATATCGATCTAGGTCTGCTCTTATTGTTGATTTGCGTGCTCTTGATCACTCTGCGATCTAAGCATGCAAGAAGATCCTTGCTACTTTTAGGCCGAAGCTTTCCCAACATCTGTGTTCGGCTTAGCAATTAGCCTTCTCTCAGCCAAATCCTACATGTCCTTAAGCTTTTTGAGCATGTCCAATAACTTGCAATAACATTGCCCAAACCCAGGCAACCAGCAGTAGCTCTCGACCGAAACTTTCGTCGCTTCCACTGACCAATCTATCACTGTCTTGGCCTGTGCATTGCGATGATAGCAGTACCCTGATGATACAGTACCCACGCAAATGCACAAATGAACGGGATTGAACGCTTACCACATCTTGCCACCAAATGACCTCAACACATCTCAACACCTCAGTTCCTTGGCGGTTCAGAGTGCGGGTAGAGCAAATGCTTCGATATCCTGGACATGTCATGATGGCACGTGGCTCTTGGAGTTGAGATCATCTTCTTAATGGCTGACCTGGCATCCGCGTGGAAGCTCAAGCTGCTTGAAACATGCGCAACATCGCGCAGCTGGTGAGGGACACGGACTGAGCATAGGCTAAAATTCTACGCCCTGGACTCAATGAAGCTCACAATGAATTGAAAAGTACTTGGGATTATGATGGATTACTGTATGTGGGTTTAGAACTGGCAAGAAGTGCGCTGAGTATCAGTAGTGGTAGTATGTGGTGGTAGTAGCAAAGGAGAGGAATCATATCATCATGGGATATCATGGGGAACCCCTCTGCATGTTGGGACGGGATAAATGTGTTTCAAGCAGAGCTTTCCACGGACGCCGATCATTCAGGAAAACTTATGTTTTAAAACTCTAGGCGCTGCGGCGATGGCTGGCGAATCGGAAACAAATAAGAAACACCAATTCCACTGCTTGTTGTTAAGGAGCTTTAGGCAAATTCAGGCCGGTTGCATAGCTACCAACCTGTCTAGGTATGGTGACATACCTTTAAAACACACCCTGAAATGGCAATGTCTTAGAATGATTGACCCAAACCAACTTGGATGCTTGATATGCTGGAGAGATCTGGTGAGATCTGGTGAGCATGCTCAATTTCCCTTCCTGTGGCCTTTTTGCAGCTCTTACCAGCTACATGGCTATACCAACTTGCCACGCGTTGCATCAAACTTGTTCTCCGCAAGATCCGTGCGATTCTTGACGTCCAGATCCAAACACTGGGCCCCCAATAAACAAAAAATCTCACCGTGAATTTGCGTTCTCGCCGCATTTTTACCAGCTATATATATATTATAAATATGGGAATTATATATATATATAAATATATATAAAAACATACTTTTTCTTTCACATACATCTAAGCACGGGAAAGGAAGTCGGAACTTTATCGTGAAGAGTGTTGAGTTAAATCAGCTTTACCTTGTTACCTTTGTGGTGCCAAATGCAGGCGATGGAGCCCCGACTCGCCAAAACTGATCCAACATGATCCGGCGTGCACATCCCTGAGTGGCCGCACACTGCCTCTATGCATCAGGGCAAGAGCAACTTGCCAGCAGCCAGTCATGGGAGTCCCAGCGTCCCAGCAAACTACTCCCAGTGGTCCGCCTGTTTGGCGTGATCACCGTTAATTAAATATATTCATTCTGGATTATTCTAGTGGCATGCCTTCTGCATGACGGAATTTCCAGGCGTCCTGAGAAAAAGCGGAGTGATCAGAGTGATCCCAACTTGCCAGTCAAGTGTTGGCAGTGGAACTCTTCTCCCACGCTCTCAAGTCAGCATTCAGGATTGTCACCCAGCACTGGAGCCCACGTGGGCCATGAGGTGGCTCAAACAATCCTCGGCGCTCATAAAGAGAGCTTGGTCGGAGATGCCTCAACCTTTGGCTGCAATCCCGGCACACGAGGCATGGCGGGAGGAACCACCACCTTGGCACCCCCTTCGGCCCTGGCTTTCATGATCTCATCAATGTTTGGAACCACCTTGGATTTGCTTGAGCCCCGAAGAAACTCCCCAATATCCCCCGGTCATCGTAAATTTAACTACAGGGACAAGCAACTTACTGTACATCAACTTAAAAAAACATCGGCTCAACAAATCCAAGGCGCTGCTTTCAGAAGGCAACGCATGTATGGGCTCCGCTCCGCCAAGCGTTGGTACGCTTCCATCTTCTCCTCCTGGCCATGGCATGGAGTGGCATATCTATCCTGGCATTTTAGCGAGGCCACTCAGGAACAACGATCCATTGACCAATTCATCTACAAGCCATGGCATTGCAAGTACAAGTACTAGGGTTCTGGTATCTTGGTGGGGGTACATATGTCTACCTTTCCACTATAAACACAAATCAAGTGGCTTGCAGGTAAAGCTTTGCCTAATGACAGCCCCGGATGAGTGAGTGCCCGCCTCGAAACAAATGATTCCATATTCATATGCTACATAAACGGATTGCCCTCCCAATCCAACCAACCACGGGTCAACATAAATTCAGGTTGACATGACATGACATGACCAATATCCGGTGATAAAATCACCAAGCGAATCTCATACAATCATGAAACCACCAAATGAATCCCATAAAATCATAAAATCACAAAACAGAAGATTTGAACGGGTTGCGATCTGATGAGAGTCACATTCCCAATGGATCTGGTTGAATAAGAACACTTCCCCACGACGAATCTTCTCTCCCTTCTCCCTGCATCATTTAATGGCGGGCTCTTTTTTGAGGTCGTGAGAATTGGTCCAGAAATACATAGGTACGGCTGTATGGCTCAACATGGCTCAAAATGACCCAGAAAATCATAGGATTTTGATCCATTCTGATCCATTTCTTCCATTTTAGGATCGTTTTTGCATCGCAGAAATTGGTCGAGTCCAATCCCAATGACTTGACCATCCCTGATCGCCTGGGGCATCTCTGCCTCGACGATCTGATTCACTGCTCTCTTGTAGCCCGAGCGCACGCCTTGGGGATCCCCAAGGATGATCCCACTATGATCACTGGATGTGATGGGATGATATGGATAGATATGGTGGCCGTGGGATTGCTGGGATGGGATCTTTGCTGATTGCTGGGATCACATCCTGCTGTGAACAGCAGTTCATTCAGCTGATGCTGGATGTTTGTCTCATCAGAATGTCCCAAAGATATTGATATCAGCCGTATCAGCCTATCATGCCCGAAGCTGATGTTTTCAAGAAACCTGCCTAGTGCCAGTCTGCCACTTTGATACATTATATACATCTAAGATCATCCGGGTACCGCAAAATTGGCGGCATGATCATCATTTAGTCGGCCAACATTTTGCTTTAATTTTCGCCAGGAAACCTTTAGATGGGCGATGTGTCTTGGTGCCAGAGGTATCATGTTCTTCGTGGCAGTAGTTGCAATTGCTTCCGTTTCGACATCCATCTGCCAAATGAATAAAGCGGCAAGGCTGACCTCATTTCGGAGCTCAGGATCCCACGAGATCCTGAACCCGACCCCCTGAGGGTCATTGGGAACATTCTGGAACGCTCGAATTCAGCCTCAATAGGACTTAAGGAATCTTAAGGATACTTAGGGGGGATTGGCATCACCCAAATGTTACAGTCATTTACGGCACACCTTTCCAGCGCCCCAGATCATGATCAGTTCATGTTTAAGCTAAGCACAACCAGCTGTATGGCTTCTGTATGGTTCTGCGACAGTCACCAACACCGGTGATATTCGCCAAGTCGCATTTGCCCTCCCAGTGGCCGACGGAGCCAATTGATGGAAATTCGTAAGCTTCCTCTTCCTGCTGGAGCTGAACTCTGACAAAACACATTCGACTGGCCAGATTTGGCAGCTTCTACGCGAGCCTGTCAGTTTCATTCAGTTTCTATCCTCTTGCAAAGCGCCAGCGCCATGGATTTCACTGAATTTCCATATCTAAATCCGAATCGATCAAATGGCTCCTTAAATGGTTCATCAATTTTCAGAGCCGAATCCAGCATCCCCAAATCCAGCCAAACCCAGCCAAATCCAATTTCATGGATTGGGTCCTGCAGCTGTTGAACATTGTCACTGAGCTGCGACTGCTGCGTCCCCACGGGGGTCTGTGACGATGCCCTGAGAGGCTGGCGTTCCCTCCCTTCCCAGTTCGAAAACCACCGTGTTTTTGACGATTCGGATCGACCATATCATACAGTACGGATACAGTATCCGCATACAATTTGCTTCATGAAGGTGTTACGGTGTTATGCATATATAATAGTCATATATAACACACACACATATATATATATTATATAAATAATATCATATAATGATGATGCTGATATATGGGAATGTGTCAAACACCTGGTACTCCAGTGACCATCCCAACGCGAACAAAACTTTTGGCGCTCACATCCCAATTCCGTGGGTGATGTCTAGACCCACAATTCACGAAACTTTTGAGTCAGTCGAGCCCTTGATCTTTTGGTTTAACGATGTTTAACGGTTTAACATGGTGCAAAAAACATGTTTAACCCACTTCTGCTAGCATCTGGTGCAACAAGAAACCGCCCCATCATACCATCATCCCATCACCCGCCAGCTATCGCCAGCTGACTTCGAGCTATTGGAATTCAAGGAGGTCAAGTTGTAGACCCGATGCGTGGGCTGGAGCAGAGAACCGTTGGGGTGGGGACTGGCCGGCAACCAACCTCGGACCGCAGATCTCCAACAAAGGTAATCGAAGGTAAGCGGGAAATGGATGGAAATGGGAGAATGCAAAAACCCTGTGCATCGTAAACCTATTCTGGATAGGTCTTTGAAGAAAGACCCAAACGGGAATCCTGGGACCTATCCAAGGAAGGGTACTGCAGCAAGGGTTCAAGATGTGCACAGCCAAGAGGATCCAAGAGGCATATCATTTTATTCATTATTTTTACAATTTCTTGAAAAGAAACAATCAAGAAACAAAATGATTTGGTGCACAATTTATGCACAATTTCAGACCTGACCATCTTGAATCATCTTAAGATCTTTTGTTTTCTGGCCTCCAATCTCACAAATGTCTAAATCAGTTGCGATCATCATCCCAGGCAAAGTGAATCAAGAATATTTCCGACCACCAGCTCAAGGTTGAACCTTTAGCAGGATAATCTAGGAGCTGGTCATCTTCAATTGTCTTCGAATGACTTGGGGACCCAAGCGACAAAGACTGTCCCAAGCAACAGCCTTTCAAGATGGATCTTTCATGATCTTTCTAAATTCAACAGGTCTTCATCCAGATCTTCCAGCAAGTCTGGACTTGAAAGCTACATGTTTTTCCATGTTTTTCCCGTTTTGTCTAAAAAACCACCCAGAGTTACTCACACCGAGGTCATGGTGCCTGAAGGAACAGACTGTTCAGAGGAATGGTTGCTGCTGGTCGATGGCGTCCAACTCCGACTTCGGGTCACTGCCGGCGCATTGGAAGACCGAACCGTCACATGAAGAAAGGTGTTCCTTGGGACTTGGCATTTCACTCAGAAGGTCAGAAGGTTCCAAGTTTTATTGATGGCATATCCAGTAGCTTTGGATTCCTGTGTGGGAGCATGGCTTCATATGGTTCATATGGTAACAACCAAGAACTAAATACACACAATTACAGTAAAGCGATTTGATTTAAGAGAGATGCAGGAAACTTGCTAGCTGCCAATGCTCACCTCCAAAGCATATTCGTTCTTATTGACCAGCAAGTGAGCAATCACTGCATGCATCCGCAAGCCAATGAGCACGATCTCTAAAACAACACCAGCCACAATTCATGTACGCTGCTAGATCCTGCTAATAGCAGATCTGACAGGTTTCCATTAGTAATTGCGCACGCTTTTCCCACCAAAACAATTCAAACAAATCCCTCGGCTTCCGAAGTAACTGGCGCTTACAGCGGACCGTGACACGACATGACATTTCTCACACTCCAAGCACATTGAATGTGCGCAATTCCATTTGGCCAGAATCTTGCAACATTAGCAAAGCTTGACATGTGTAATTACAGTGGTTGAACTTTGTCATGTGTCGGGGCTGCATTGTCCATCGCGGCGTGCTATTAGTTTTCTCAAACTTTAAGAACTCTTTAAGCACGTAATCCTATGGGGAAACATTTGGACCATATGACCATAGTAAGTTTTCTTCAAAATTCATCTGCGCTGTGACCAAAGCGGCCTGTTTTCATTATTCCTGTTTCAACATCAGGTTTACTTTCAGCAATCTCTTTAACGCTGAATAGAACTCCTTTGGAGTTGCAGGTGCCACAGACTGTCGGAAAAGAAATTGGAACACCGCTTCGGATAACCTAAGTGCAAGGAACGTTAACACATCCGCCTAGCCCATCACCCCTCCCAGCGTGCTATCATCACCGAGACGTCCACCAACCCACGGGCTCAGTAAACTATAAACTAACATATACACTCATATGCATAGCTATGGAAAATGACCATTTGTAGATGATATAATTACCTATTCAAAATTGTGATTTATCATATCATCGCTAACAAATTACCAGAGGGTATCTCTGCGAAGGATCCTGGCTTCAAAATCAATCTCATAGTCCGGATCTTCCATTGCTGCCCCTGCGGCTCCACCGCGTGGACAAATCGCGCGCAGATGGAACCGTCGGAGTTGTTAGCGGCTTAGCCCGGCTTAGCTGCTTAGGCTGCTTAGCTTGCCCCCTGGAAGGTTCCATGAAGTGAATTCCCATGTCAAAATCCCAGCATTTGTTGCTGTCAAGCGTTACAGAAAACCCATTCCCCCTGGAAAGACTTGGACGTATTGGACAAAACCATGAAAATCAATTCCCATTCAAAAATAAGGGGGTTTTCAATTTCCGGTTCGGCCGGCGACTGAGCCAGGTGGAGAAGCAAAGAGAACTTCAGCGTGTCTATGTCTGCCCATATCCAGTTTCTTCACATCGTTGGACAATTGACAATTGGACGCTCAGATGACTTTCGGTTGGGGGACGCAGGGGGGAACTACAAGCTCCACACCATTCCACACCCAAATACAGTACAGGTTCGATACATCATGATACATCCCCATGTCACCCTTGCTGCAGCGGCTGCAAATTACCCTTTTGTCTGGCATGTCAACTACGTGAGAGCACGACATGCGATGATGTCAATGGACTATCTAATGGCAATGGCAACTTTTTTCCTTGCCATTTTGCTGAATTTGATGCACCAGGGGAGTTTTATTATGGAAACGTGGACATCAAAAGCTGCAGCTGTGATTTTCGGGTCCACATAAAACGGGTGCCCTTTGGCACTGGTCCTCCTGGGCACTCGGCCGCTCAAAATCTGGCCAAGCTCGTCGAAGGGGCCAAATCAGTCAAGCTGGCAGCAAAAGGCAGTGTTCCTGCCAATTTCGGCACAAACATGCGAAAGTCAGGGAGAACCAAAGAAGGACATTTAAGAGCTTGAACTTGCCGGTAGCAGTGCCCCACCCTCTAAATGTTTTGCGATGATGCAATCTACTCAACTTTTGGAAAAAAAATAAGTAATCACCGTCATACCTTAGAATTCGAAGCAACCCAGCACAAGCGTTGCTTCTCATATCAGCTTCCGGACCCTCAGGAAAAATTGTGCTGTGGCTTGTGGGTCACGGTGCTCCGCTTGGTCTCTTGTCCTGTCCACCAAAAGGTGGACGACTCCTTCCCATCCCGTTGCAATGCAACGCTCACCTTCGATCACCTTCGGATCCATCAGGCAGGAATGTCTGCTGGACAGTAGTATGTCACCTTGGAGTCTCACAAGGGCGGTGGCAAACTTACTGAAAAAAGGCAGCCGAATTGAAGTGGGAGGAACAGCCAACAACATGTAAACCGCCTGTAAACATGAAATGTCGTGAGATGTTGTGAGATGATGTCGGTCCAAAGTCCACAACGAAGTTTTTGCTTGGCACTGATCACTCCCGCGATGCCTTATGATATCTCACAGGCCTCTAATCTAGTCTCCTCATCTTTGATGTTCCTTTTCTTTCCCTAAACTCAACAGCTGAACTTCACAAAGAACGAGACGTAGCCCAGCATGGCCCATGGCCTGTCACTTCTAGCGCTTCGTTTGGTCCCTTAGGTCCCTTAGGTCCCAATTGCAGCATCAAAGTGCTGGGATTCTTAGCATTGGACAGCGAAACATAGCGAAAGCTAGGGGTGATCCTCACGATCTTTTTCTATAGGGTCTACCCTCTGGTTATGTCAAAATAGCTATTGAAAATGGCCATTTATAGTTGATTTTCCCATTAAACATGGTGATTTTCCATAGTTATGTTAGTTTACCAGAGGGTATATGGTTCGGTCACCTTGGCCCATCGCTCAGAAACCATCAGAAAGGTCTGACCACGTCAAGGTGCTGTGTAATGAGTCGCTGAAGAGCAGCGCATCAAACCCATTCCATCATCATAGGCATATCCGTAGACCTGTGGAAAAATCACGGTCGAATCATCTTAATTGCCAAGCTCTCCATATATTCCATATCACAAAGATTCCTAAACAGTACAAACTGAGGTGGTTTATAAACCCGATTAGATACACCTACCATAAATCCATGAAATCATAGTTGAGATATGTTGATATACTTCTCTACTTGTAACTAACCCAACTTAGCTAATCATGGGGCATCACCACAGTCACAATGTGACGATGGTCACCACATGGAGGATGATCTGGCGAGGCCGCACAAACTCCGGTTGTAATCCCTCGGTCACATCAAAGACATTCCATAACAATTAAGCATACAGTATAAATAGATAATATAATATATAACTATATGTTAGATATATAAATGTGTGTGCCTTTTGTATGTATATACACACATTAGTTGAACAGCACTGCTAGTCATGTTCGGATGAACCCCCTTGCACTTCCCAAAATTCTCTGCGAATCGCAGGGCACGGCACCCCGCAGTCCCAAGCGCAAACCAAGAAACGCCCGGGCACTTCTCGTGCACGGTCTTCAGGAAGCTTGTTCCAGTGATCCTGGGAGGTATCCACGTCAATTTCCACGTCTATCCTTTCTGGTAAAAGGGGGAATCATCGATTATCCGGTTTACAACGTTACCTACCTATGAAAGCATGGCTAATTAGTAGCAACAGGATGCAACAGGAACATCCTCTTCTGCATGTGATTGTGCACTTCAAGGGCTGCTTCACGTTGGGTATTTGGGATTGGTAAAGGAAAAGCAACGTGAAAGTGACGTGAGGACAATTGGGAGCAACTTTGGATTCCAAAAAGCTTAGGGCTCAAAACAACTCCCCTCTACATATTGCCACATATGGCAAGTCAAACTTCGGCAGTTGCAGCATTTCTCACCATCTCTCAACTATGAAGCCTGCGCAGCATCCTGGAATCCAAGAAATCATCCGACACCATTTTTGAAAAAAAAATCATCAAAGATCTATGAACACAAAGCATGTTGAAACAAACATCGCAAGAAACGAGTCTTCTCTCCGTTATGCCACCATCCCAATCATATGAAGCCAGCCCTCCGGCCGCTGCCCGCTGCCCAGTTTCGGCCCTGCCCTGCAGCTCTCAGGTGTCTGGGGAGGTGTTGGACAACAATAGGGCGACACCTCCCGGCATGGCCAGGTCGACTTGGAATCCCAAGTCACCAAAGGGACATTCAAAACATGGAAGATTCATGAACACCTAGATAAAACATGATAAAACATGATAAAACATGATAAAACATGATAAAACATGATAAAACCATGATAAAACCAAGGCTTTAGCCTAGTTTAGACCATTCATTCTATGCCAGGAGTTGTTTTTTCATGTTTTTTCCATCACAAAACGGATTACCCGCCTCACTCTCTTCGGGTCGGCGTCCAGCAGGCCTTTCCTGTGGATTCCATCAAACCCAGCTTTGATATATTTTGATATGCTTTGATCCTGGAGAACCACTTTCAGAATTTCATGTTCCATTCTGTTATTTGAATATTTGAATATTTGAATAAACTTCGATAATACATCTAAACATCCATCAACAAAAGCACTGCAGCTTGCGGGCCTTATTGCTCCATTTGGTATCCAACAGCTTGCTACATGGACTGTAGCATCCAGCTACCTGCGCCAGCCATCTCCGCTGTTTTGCGCCAGGAAAGGGCTTTCCATCTCTACTTTAAAACAAATCTTAGCTGTTAAGGATGTTTCCTCTGCTTTGAACATTTCTGATGTTTGAAATTGTTTGAATATCTTAGGTCACCTGTTTTTTTTCAAGCCTTCCACTTAAAAACATATGGGCATACTGTGGACATGTGTCTATCTGGCGGGATCCAAGATGCAGTCCCACCTTGTGCGTCTTTGGATTGATGGCGTGAAGGTCGGCGAAAATTCCTTGCCACCGCGCCGTGGAACCCATGGGAACAGTCAAAACATTGAATACAGGTGGCTCAGATCCAACTACATATTTACAAAAATGTGTGCATATATATGTATATATAATTGCACAAATTTATGCAATTAGAATTATATCGTATTACATCATATTATATCATATTATATCTATAATTCTGTGTTTTTCTGACACTTGCAGCTTGCATCATGAGGCTTGTGAGGCCTGTACCTGGCATGTCATGCTCATTACAAAAAGCTGGAAAAGGCCCATCAAACCTTCGGTCAAAAATATAAAGCCCACTCTCAAGTAATTTAACATATTGGACAACCCACCACCATTTTCCGAACAGGAAACCTGTGGAAATGTCTATATCTATGTTGATTTACCTATATATCTTATTCGAGCCTTCTCTGGAGACTATCTTCAATGGATCAGCCGGCACCTGCGGCCGTCAAGCGCTCCGCAGCTGGGCATAGGCCCAAGGACAAGCCCTCGCAGTCCAAGACCTAGGAGGATGGGGAGGGATGGGGGATAGGCCCGGGTAGGCTCAGGGGATGTCAGGGATCATCATTTGATCCTGACTTCGTTGATGAAATGCCAGGCGTTGATGGGTGGCATGACAGCACGCAGTCCAAGGACCTGGTTGCCATCAAACGTCTCTGGTCGGGCTGGACAAAAAATCAAAAAACATGTGCGTTCCGATAATATAAATATATGATGTATGTATGTATGTATGTAATGTAATGTAATGTAATGTAATGTATGTATGTATATATATATGTAATATGTATATATATATACACATATGTATAATATATATATATATTTGTAGTACCCCCCCCAAAGATCTACAATTTTGACCTACCTTTTTAATATCTTATGGTTTGGGATGGTATATATATGTAATATGTACATTATATATATATATATATGTGTGTGTGTAATGTGTGCATAATATATATATACATATACATATGTAGTATGTACATATAATATGTACATAATATATATATATATGTGTGTGTAAGATGTACATAATATATATATATATGTGTGTGTGAAATATGTACATATAATAAATGAATATACATATATATATATATATATTTAAATGTGTGTGTAATATGTGCATAATATAATATGTAAATATGGATAGATGCCTTATGTACGCAATACATGATAATACATGATCATATCTCTATTTAATTCTATCTATATATATACACCTGAAATCGCATGAATATGATCATATAATATAGGTTTGAAACTACCAACCAGTGTATCATCGATGTCATGAATGACAGTGCTTCTTGGATGATGTCAAGTGGATATTTTGGGAATCAGGTGGAACCATGCACCTTGACTATGATGGCAAAGGGAGGCTGCATGCACCCATGCAATCCATCCAGTCTTGGGGGGGGCATCTTGACCCATCGCGATACAACATCTATTCTTCATGGCCCATTAGCCAAAAGCAATGGAACGACATGTCACAATGTGTCAAATTTTCTGGGGGTGGGAAATGCACCGAACATCACCGAACATATTCAGAGATCTCCTTGTTGTAGATCCCTAGACAAGTCGAAAGCAGCAGAACTATGACACATCCCACTTACTCCTCCTGCGACCCATGAAGGGTGCCAAATAGAAAAAAACACATGAGGTTTGAATGTCATGGTCGGATCAATTTCGGAAATTGACGTCACTTACTGACTTACTGGCTTTGGTTTTTGAACCGACAGGTTGCGTGCAAAACAAACACTTGCCAAGGGGAGGAACGACGAGGGCAGCAAAACGACATATAAGAAGAAAAACCAGAACTACATATGTTCACTGCGCCTGCTTCAATTTCAACAATGAAAATACACAACATAGATCAACATAGATCAACATAGAAGAAATTTAAAAAAACACGAAAACAGAGACCAGCCATATTTCTGGAGCATATTGGAGCATTTTTCATGTGAAACCCACAGGGCCTGTGTGGCCCCGTCACACTCTGAGGCGGCCGCGTTCACTTTTTGGTCTGTGGCTGTGCGACCTTGGCGTTCATGAAACATATGACACCATTACATAAGTTGTAGCATAAGTTGTAGCATGCGCTATGAGTTATATATAATTATATATAATTATATGTATATTATATATATATAGCTACATAAGTCATATCATTATATACGGCAAATATACACTATTCATTGCTATTCCATGTTCATCTCAAGTGTGTATACGTGTTTTTGGCATAGGTCAGTATACCATGTGCATCCCCCCAACAAATACGATACACATATCAGAGTTATTTCACTTATTGAGTAGGATGGTAACTAGTCGCTGGCATACTGCTTCGAATAGTTTTTAGGGGGTCATCAGCAAAGCCGGCCTATGGGAAGCACCACTACCTCGCCACAATCGTGAGCGACCATCCGGCTATATGTCCTTTGATCCTTTCATGTCTCTATACTCCATACTCCCATCCATCACATTCAAAAAAGTAATAGTACCTCCCTGTAGGATTGCAACCTGGAAATGCAAAAGGCAAAGGGAAGAAAGGGTACATCCTGCATCCACAGGTCCACAGCTATTGTTTCCTTCATTTGGCTTTGACTGAAATAAAGGGACACCCAAGGCCCAATCCCATTTCAATAATCGTTTTCCCCAACTCACATGGCCACCTTCTGACATGCACCGGAAAGCCCTAAAACCTGCTACAGAAGAGTCTCACCAACACAAGGGGAAAGCGCAGCTGCAAATAGATGAAAGAGATGTTGAACAGTCCTTGCCCGAGCAAAGGACAAAGCATCCTTTTCCCGCGCGGCCAGGGTCAAGATCCTTTCATGTCTGCAACAGCTCCCTTTACACGACCAGCATCCTCATCATCCTCAGACTTCTTCTTCTCCTTCTTGCGAATTTCAACTTTTTCCTCATCGATTCAGTGGATGTAGCCCACAAAGCCCTCGAAGCGATCGACATTTCGATTCTGCCTGTCGTTCATCTTCGCAGTCAGATTCATGCCACGCCCATGGTGGCACAGGATGGGCTTGGCAAGGACGGGTTCGCCCTCTGGCCGATCTCTGTTGTCGCAGAGACACCCCAAAAAAACCTGCGCTTGATCGCACATCTCAAAACTCCACATGCAAGCAATCACCGGGTGTGACCCAGTGTTCGACTTCCTCTCATAGATCATCCGCCGGATGCATTCATTACAATAGTCAAGCTTTTCAGACACTTGCCAACCCGTTTTTTCCGAGGCAGTTGTTCAGAAATTGTATTTTCATATCGTCAGTGGTGGCAACTCTTTGGATGAGCAGCCGGTCTCGGCGCCAAAGATGTGGTGCCTTTTTTTTTCCCTCTTTGAACCTCTTCCGAATTCCTTTCTGACAGATCCACACGAATCTTTAGATTTGAAACTCCGAACTCGCGTGACCTTTTGGCGGAGAGCATCTGATGAGCACCTGATACTTCCCACAGCTCCACATCAGCACCATTTTAGGCCCAACTTGGAGACAAGTCGCACGATTTTGACTGGTGGAGTCAGCACAGGGTGGTTCAATGTTACAAATGTGCCCCCTCAGAGTATATCCTAGCGTATCCCTCTATATCAAATTCTTTACATCATTTATCCCTATATTTTGCATTATTTAAGGTTGTTCCTATGGTGTAAAAATGTTATAAATAGCTTAATACAGCAATCAGGATAATCTATAACGATTGGCTAACCTGAACAAGTTTGGCAATTTGGGATAGTTGCCCCACTCATCCACAATCAAGTTCCCATCACTACAGTGACGTCACAGTGATGTTGGTATAATCCGTGAAACATTGATCATGATATGATATTCGCATTAAATATCCGCCCATCAAATGATGTTCCCATGATTCACCCATGATATCCACCGCTCCAGTCCCGCAGTCCCAGTATGTCCCAGTGACAGTCACCCTGGATGTCCAACTTCACAGGCAACGTCCAGCCATCCACCAAGCTGATGTCCACGTAGTCGCAACCTTTCCTTAGGTTTCGAAAGCTGCTAGGGATATTGATATGATGTGTATTGCATATAGGTGTATATTACTTATAGTTATAGTATGTAAATGCATATATAATCGTACATATATATATGGGACCATGGATCTATATCTATTGTCAATTATTCATATTCATTCGCAAAACAATCTCAAATGCCACGTGATTTTGGATGGTTTTGGATGATTTTCAATGTATAGTTGGTCTTTGTAACTTCCCGTGACAGCATTGGTGAGGGAAATTTCAGCCCACAGAGGCATTCAAATTTCCAGGTATGGTGCATCCTTAGCAGCACAAATTACGAAGGCATTTGGATGGGATACTCGGATACTCCTTTGGCAAGTGGGACCATGCACCTCTCATCCTTCCCCTAGGCCCTAGCCATCCTAGCCTAGGCCTCCCCACATCTCCACCCCTCCTGGGGTCTTGGGATTGCAAGGCGCACCGTTCTCACCAAAGCTCCTTGGTACCATCGCCAGGCGATAGCCCAACAAGCTCGGCTGCAGCTGGGCAGAAGCTAACAACTGGATTTGACATGCATTCGCTAAGCCAAGACTTGCAAAACATCTTTCAACCAGCATCTTCCTTCAAAAATTGGGGGTAGAACGCCGAAGTCCGCCCATTTCGCTGTTGGAAACGTGTGGAAGCACATTTTTGCAAACTCCCCGCGCCGTCACCAGCCCAGCTTCGCTTCGAACTTGGTATCGACCGGTGGTGCACAGTTCTTGTAATCCTCCTGAGCCGCTACAGCCATCGACCGAAGTTCCTCTTGGTATGTCTCAAGAGATCTGGCCAACAACACCAGTTACGGGTGTATCCGGGCAGAAGGTGCAGCCCAATTTGTGGCAATTTTAGTGGGGACAGTAATGAGAAACCATTGAATTTTCATGAATTTTCCATGGATTTGGGGGTACCATGGCGAATCCTTCAGACCAACCCTGATCACAACCAGACCTGTCTGGCCCCACCTGACCAGTGATGGGGTTGAACTGACAAATTTGCCCAGGGCCTCCACTGCTTCCAATGGCACCTTGGATGCATACGGCTGGTCTGGAAAAGGGCTACCCACCAAACCAACGGATGAAATATGTACATAATACCTGATCAGATTTGATTTATGAGAGAATACCGTGTGAATACTGTGTGAATACGACGTGTTCCACGAATGGCTTGGCCCAACCAAGATTGACTGCAAACATCCATGATGCTTGGCTTCCGGCAGTTATGACCCGAGTCGTCACAGCCCATCCTGAGTGCTGCAGGAATGGTCCGATTAGATCCAATTGGGGCCATCATCAATACTGTAAACGAGAATGATGGCCTCATGGCAAAAATGGAGGCCCCAAAGAAAATACAACCCCCCATTCCCTGGTTCGAAGAATATGCATGTTCAACAACATCCAAAGATGGTGGAACACGACATACGATCCCAAGCAGTTGAGGTTCATGGTGGTTCCATGATGGCTTTTTAAGTCCAAGCATCTTGGGCCAAAATCGCGTAGCCGACAAGTGGCTGGGAGTGGGAAAATCATGGAACTGACCAGGCAAAATCTTCACCTTATGGCGGTTTTGTTGAAGTTGGCGGGAATAGGAAATCGTCATCATGATCATCATGATCGATGATTGTAACTGATTCCATTCTTTCAATGGATCCGATTTTATTAAAAAAATACCCCGCATATGACATATGAGACCCCGAAAAGAAATCAAAGGAATAGATCCAATATACACCAAGGGGTCTAGAGAATATCTATTGTGAGGGGGGACGGGATTAAGTTCAGATTTGATGCGATGCCAACTGAATGCAAGACCTGACCGCCCCCATATCCCTGATGCTCAAACTTGGAAAGAAATCCAAATCGGTCCAAGCCTATTGCCATCTTTAAACTCTGGACGATTGGGCTCACAAAGACAAGGACATCAGCGATAGGATTCTCAACCCAAAATATTAGTAGAATCGCCTTCAGGGAAAGCTTAAGAGGAAGAAACATCATAAAACCCAATAAACCATCATACGAGCATGGCTTGAACTTGTTCACGCACCGAATGAAACAGAGTTTCATTCTAAAAAAAGGGTGGGTCCATTGGTACACCATACAACGTACCATACTTAAGTGTTTCTCTGAACACAGGGCACCCCCAAAATCCAACGATTGATTGGGGGTAAGCTGGTAAGCACCATATCCCATCCCATCCATGATATGGCGATTTACCAATACTTAACATAATGACTTAACAATAGAAGCCATCGACCATTTTTTAATAGATGATATAAATAAATAAATAATAAGTAAATTTAAATAAATAAATATATATAATTATATATACTGTATATATAAACATGATGATTGACCGTGCAAACAAAACATGGTGATTTTCCACTTCACTCACCGAACTGGTCATTACCAGAAGGCAATCGCAATGACTGAGCAACATTTTGATCAGGCCCGCTGCCCGCACCAATGGCGTGAGCTATCCACATCCTCAGTTGGCGGGTCAAACGTGGCCGTTCCGTAGCCGTTCCAACACTTCGGTGGATTTTTAATGGGATGAATTCCGGGATTAATGGAACTGAATGGGTTTTTTCTATATTTTTCTGGGGGGGTGCTATCTGTATACATGATTTTGGTGAATCTTCAAATTCCACAACTGTGATGGAAATCAACATGCCACCACGCAAATACAGCTAGTTTTTTTGTTTTGAGTCATCTGCCTTTACTCCAAAAGCATGGAAGTCATCTAAAGCTAAAATTTCAAGCGACACCAGTTCCATCCAGTTCCAACATCTTCCAACCATAAAACGGCAGCTGAGCGACGGTTTGCTATGGCAACCATTCACAATCCTCAGTCGACTTCACGAGTCACGCGGGTGAGCATTGTGAGTCTTGAGGCTTTAAGGGAGAACATAGAGGAAACCAGATTTGTGTACAAAAAATGGCGGCTTACTGTCAATTTTATTCAATTTTCCCATCATTTCCCATCATCTAATTCTGGGAACACCTCTGCAGTTGCAATCTCCCCTGCACGGCAGTGCCTCGTTCGCCCCATCCCCTGCAACATCCCACAGCGGTAGCCATGCCAAGCGCACAGACTATGCTAAGCCACCTCAGTCTCTTCACTTCTGCGCTGTCTGCAGCGGCGGTGGCACGTCCTGTCTTCAAGTCTTGCAGCAAATCAATCTCATTAGCCATGCATGAAAAATCATCGCTTCATCTTCACAACACTCCAAAAAACTCTTACCCTCTGGTAATTTAACGTAGCTATTGAAAATGGCCATTAATAGTGGATTTTCCCATTAAAAATGGTGATTTTCCATAGCTATGTTAGTTTACCAGAGGGTAAGTAAAGACGGGCCCATTGCGCAACAAACCCATCATTCTTGAAACATGAAATGATCACCTCCCAGCATGTCGTTCCACAGTTCAAAGGCGTTGGTAGCTGCCTGCTTTTGTCTCCAATGCGACTTCTGCTTCCTGGCGGCTGTGGGTCTTGCTGTGTTGTTGTTGCTATTACAGATGTGGAATCCTGACCTATCATGGCACATATAGCAATCCGCAACAAATCGAAAAGTAACATCCTAAACGTTCTAAACTCGAGGCAGTTTACGCGTCTCCATTTTCTTGAATATGATGTTATACTTGTACACATGTTTCAGGTATTTATATGTATTTCATGTTATATGTATCAGGCTTGTTGCAAAACACCCGCGCCTGGCTTGGCACGCTTTCCTGCAAACCTCTAAGCCTTGGTGAAAAAGATTGCAGCTCTTCATGGCCTGTTAGGGAATCAGAACTGACAATGGAAAACCAGCCGTAAAAAAACAACATGCATTTCCCACGAAGACCTGAATTTCTAGGGGAACGCCTGAGGCTACTCCCACCACTGGCTTTCTCAAAGGGGCTGAGCCAGCGAAAGGTCGCAGTCTCCTTATGCTGGGCACAAGACTCATAGGGGGAAGTGATGGAACATGCAGGGCCGAGTGCATGCAGTGAACCGAAGGACTCTGCGCACGGAAATAGCGAAGTGACACCTACAACTCTAAATTCTTCAAAATGAAGCATGAATTGGAGTTGGAACATTCCAGTTTCAATTTTGGCATGATCAAATCCGCCAAAGTGATGACAATTGATGATGTGTGCATCACTTCCTGAAGGCATCATTAACATGTGCATCAATGAAAGTGCACACCCAACCCGCCAGCCTGAATCTGCACAGGTATCCTTAGGTTGGTACGCAGAGGGTGGTGCACGACCCAAAACAGCACTGGACCCGACATATAGTGTCATGTGCGATTCTTCTGTTCTTGTCATTATAACGTGTAGTTACTAGTATTGTCACCGTCACTATGCCATCATTATTATATATACTCTTTATGACCAGCACCATCACCACTTTCATCACCATCACCATTAGAAATTATCATCAACGTCTATTCCCGTCATTTCCCATCTCCCCACCCTTGACATAGACCCCAAGAGCTGAGCGGCATCCCGTTGCAACGCCTCAAGCACGACCTCTGCATGGACGCCGCACAGCACCGCCAAGGCAACCGAGGCGGCCGCCCAGCCTGAAACAGCCGTTGAGTTATGGTGAGTTACTGGTTGATCCATATTTTCCCATATTCCCCAGTGGTTTATGGATGTTTCTCGGCCATAAATTGGGGATGACACTTCATGAGCCAACCATAGCACTTATGTACACACACATATATATATATACAATTATATACAGCTATAACAATTCCAAGGGCGGACATCCCTTCATCTGCTATTCAAAGATCTAATGATGTCCCGATGTATATCTCCTGGATGCCCTTTTGGAAAAACCATATGTGGTTGCATTTGGATGCACCTTCGCCGTGCAAGGGAAACTCCTGCACCCATTATGTATTTATTCTCCGTCCATGAAAATACACACACAGACACACAGAGACAGACAGATAGACAAATAGACAGATATACAGATAGACAGACAAATAGATAAATGGATGGATAGATAGCTAGGTAGCAAGGTAGATAGGTAGATAGGTAGATAGGTAGATATAGATATATATATATATATATATATATCTATATATATATATATATGTACCCCAAACAAACTGGAACTGATTTGTACATGTGCTGTTACACCACTTCTGATCAAACATATCAATCCCTCACTCAGTCCCATTTTCTCTGCACCACCGCGTGCCTCTCATGTTGCTCAAGAGGTAGAGTTGCTGGGCGGAAGTTGGAAGACCTAGTAGTAATGGCGTCTGAGCCGAAATGTGCGAGCACCTTCGTTTAGGACGAGCACATTCCATAGCATATGCTGCTGGATAAAGTTGGTGACACCAAACTCTTTCATTTTCCAAGGAACCCCTGTTGAGGTATTCTATCCTCAAGTCCCATGGTGTCTCTGACCCTTGAGATCATATCTTCATTGGTCCGCTGCGTGAATTGTGTATTTTTCCCCAAGATCAAGGCTCCGCTTCCTGTGGTTTTTCCATGATCTGTTCATCATCCCAGGCCCCAGGTCAGCTACTAGTAGGACTGAAAATAGCATCAAATAACCAGGTAATGTCAGGATTGAACATGACCTGAAATCATGGTGTCCATTTGGTATCCCACCTCCACTTCGCCGCTTCGCCTCATGACTTGTCCTTGGAAGACTTGGAAGCGCCTGTCTTTTTTCGATAGCAGCGGATAGATGCCGAGTCCGCAGAAGGGAGATTGAGGTCATTCAAACCATGACCATTCTCAACATCAAATCATTGAAGCTCAGATAGTGTGGCATGGTAGTGTAAACCGGTAAACCCAATAATACCGCATAGAGGTTTATTTTTGGGTGTGCCCCGATGACTGAAGTGATGTAAACACATATTCTCCATCTCTCTCTCTCTCTCTCTCTCTCTCGCTCTTTGTCGCCAGCCAAAGGCTCTAAGCTCTGCATTCTTCTGTCAATTCAGACATGAAAAATCATAAAGCATGGGCCTGGAGGAGGAACGAGGAATCAGGATCCGAATCTTGATGGGTGGCCTGGTCCCTTACCTTTCACCATTGCTACTTCATAAGCGGCTTACGAGATCTTACGAGTACCATGTGACCAGCCAGGAAGGTGTTTTCACTTGTTCATCTTCTGACCTGTGCTCGAGAGTTTTAGCACTGCCGTTGCCCAGAACACATCGGGCACAGCTCAGTGATAGACCTGTGTCAGAACGAATGTGATAAGCCCAAAAGAAGCAATACTTTTAAAAAAAAAATAAGAAATGTAATTCATCTCATTTTCGAATTATCAAATAAAGCTAATAAAGCATGTCTAATGTTTTTTTTTGGTGGCCATGCTAGGAAATCATGGGGGCATGGCCCGTCCAGCCTTTACTCATGAAAGCTGCCAGAGTCTTCCTCAGCATCTCACAGGACAACATCCGGAGGAAACCTGTGCTGATTCACGTTGATCATCATATGAATATCATGGAGAACATTATATATGGCATTGATATAGCAATCGTTGATTTTAAATGCACTATAATACAACAAATATCATTCACAATTAAATGAATCAACTATTTAACATCTTTATAGATTGTCCATAATGTTTCAAATGATTTCGCAATCTTTGATCCTTGTCGAAACATGCGGAGCACTGGCAGCAAATTGGCCGCGGTTATCACGTTCCAAATCTCATTGTGCCACGTCCTGTTGGGCACCCCATACCAGTTTCTACGGACAGAACCAGAACAATCTTTCTTTCATGAGCAACGGAAGCCGTAGAAAAAATACCAGGAACTTGTAGATCTACGTAATCCCTCCAAGAACCAATATTTTCTATAACATCTTGCAACTCACAAATGGATCGCTTAAGTGGATCACTTAAATGGGTACTTTTTTCAAAGAATCTTCCCTTGACGATTCCAGCCTGGAGGTTTTCATGCACCCCCCACTGGTTTCACTGCTTGATGCCCAGCTACTGCTTCTTCTCTGGAGCAGGCTCTGAAGCCTGCATCCATAAACCATTGGCTTTACCACACTACGACGCACTACAGCTTTTCAGATTAGTACACATGTTTGATGATGCTTGATAATGTTTGATGATGATGATGTTTTTTGTCAAATCCACACTTAAAATGTTTAAGTCATCATCTTTGTTCCATCCGCAGCTGTGGCTATGGCCTCTGGAGCCTCTGGAGTCTGCCTCACCTGGAGGTCGAAATTTTCGGCAAATTTTCGGCAGCTAAGAAGATGTGAGCGAAACAAACAACATTATAACGAGAACTAAATGGACTATATTGCGATTTCTTGGGAAATTTTAACTGAGGATTACTGTATATATTCCAAGATTTGCCAAGGATTCTAGATATCATGCAATGGATTCCGTCCGAAAACCTACGGAACACCATAGTATTCTTGCAATCAAATATAAGGGTGCCGTGCAGATTTTCCCCTCAACCAATGATATTGATATACAATGAGACAACATGCCATGAAACGATAGTTAAAAGCGACTACTTGCTACCCCCATTCTTCGCCGTCTTCGCCATCAGCATATACATGTAAATAACTACGTATATATAAATATATAGTATATGCATCACATTTTTCTTTTAATTTGCACTTATATATTATTAGTTAAAATTATATAATTGAGGTTGGCCCAAATGACACTTCAAACAGGGTTCTTCCAAACAAAACAATCAATCTTCTTTGCAGGACCCTCAATTATTACATGAAAGCTCATCATGATGCACTGGAAGTTCGAAGGAAAAAACAGCATAAAACAGAAAATTGTCCAACGCGATTTTGTGTTCTTCCGCCTCAATTTGATAGGTAAACGTTTGCCGAAACTCTAACCCTCATGCCGCTTCATGTATATTTAAAAATATATCAGGTATTAGGTATGCATGATATAATGCACACACACACACACGTACACACACATATATATAAAACATAACATAACATATACATACACACACATATATATATATATATATATACATATACATTACATTACATTACATTACGTTACGTTACGTTACATTACATTACATACATATACATAATTTTACAATATTATACATATTTCAACATATTTCAACATATTTCCAAATCAGTATAATCTTTCAAAGGCAATTTCTTCAGCAGTACTGCAGTCGGCCTTTGAGAAGAAATTCTCCAAGGTGGGAGGAGTTGATGACCTTGGCATCGGCAGGGCATCGAGGGGTTGGCAGGGCAGGTTCAACTGGCGTTTTCTGGCGAAATGTCTTTCTTGATACCTCCATAAATAAGATTCCAAATAATTGGAAACTGTTCAGTGCCCTAAGCAAAATGTGCTGAAACATCCCTCTCTCTCAGCCAAATTTCGCGCATGATAAAAGAAAGGGCTCGGCCAAGTCGGACTGGCGCATAGATATGGCCAGTATTACAATGGGGAAAATCACAAAGTCGACATCATAATCATATTTCACAATCCATGTGGGAAACCATGGGAAACCTAATAAGTCAAATAAACCCATATAAACCTCCAATTTTGGGGGTTTGTACCACCTATTTACACTGACATTTGGGGATTCACGAGGCATGAGCCGCCCACTTTCGCTTGGATTTCTTTTCGCCTCGGAATGTAACCCAGCTGTGCGGACAGCTGCCATCTGGCAATTGATTCATTGATATTATTATTGAACCATTGGTTGCGTTATCATAGAAAATTCCATCAGAAAGTGCCATGATTAGAACATATCATTGAATAGAATAATAGCAATAGAACATATCCAATCATCATCCCATTGTTTCATCCCGTTTTCTACTGGTTGATAGATTAAAGTCGTCAAAATAATGTTTTTTTTTAGTCACCCATTATTATTCACCCGTAGTTCGGCCTAATACAGTAGGCCCTTCAATTTTGAAGATTCCATTTCCAAACCGTCTCTTCTCAGAATTGCTTCGTATTGGTTCAAAGGAAAACTTGCTGGAATCCTCATACTTGATATGCACACACACACATATATATATACCTATATAAAATAAATATGTGACATGTGTATATAATGTGTATATATATATATATTTGCCATTTATTTGACTGGTCAATTCATGGCTTCCTGTAGATTCTCTGTCCATTCCAGGGCCATCGCCTTTACCACTGGAAGCTGCAGCTGGTGCAGCCGCCTCGCAAGTCAAGGTGCGCCCTGATCATGAAAAACCACCGTTTTTGGAATCCAAAAATGAATAGATCAAGTGTGATCAACTAGACACCACTAGATTAGATTCCACCCGGGTTTCTGGGGTCTTTCTTCAGAGGTGGCAGGGGTTGATACGCATGTTGAAAGTTTAAAGACCGCTATCCCCTCATTCCATTATGCCCTTTTTCAATCGTTTTTGTGATTTTTTGGGCCTGCAAGAAAGACATCCGAGTTTGAACTTCATCCAATGATGAAGTGACTGCCCCCCGGAAAAAAAACACAGTTTGAATTCCTCAATGCATGGACAAACAATGACAAACAAACAAACAACACGTCACCTTTGGTGGAGAAATATTGTTGCCAGTCTTGTCCATCACAAGTTCAGTGGAACGAGTAAAGAAAAAGTAAAAGGGCATAGCTGCTGCACTCAGTTTCAAATCAGGTCGGTCACCCAACAACTTTCTAGACAGCTCTCTGCTGCCATCTGTCCACTGCATTTGCAGTGTCCAACATGCTTTTAATAATTTCACGGAGAATTCATGAGAAAACCCGTGATTTTCACGGAATCTTCACAGAATTTGCGGCTTCCAGATCGCCTGATTTCTCTTACAAACCGGTAAGCCTTAGCATATCTTAGCATCTCGACATGGGTTGTTTAACCATGTTTCAAAATGTTGCAAGTTATACCAGATATACGCAGTGGATTGCAGTGGATCATCAGTTTTCCAAAAAAAACATCGCCTGGGCGGCTTGAGACTTTGAGCTCCTCGGTCTTCCGCGTTTCTTCTGGCCGGACCTTGGGTGAAGCATTTTGAAACCAGCCAGTGAACTTTGATACAGTTGTGGCCTGTGAGAAATAATCAACTTCAAGAGTGCGGAACAGGACTTTTTTCCTCAGCCCCAGTCATCCTCAAATCTTTGCAAATGTATGTCTTGCAGGAAGGTCACGCATGTTTTCTGACTGATGTTTTGAACCTGTTCATACTCTTTATCCCAGGTATACCTTCGAAAGCAATCATATGTTCAAATGCCCAGTTCCAGCAAGTCCAGCAAGGTCTTGCCATTTGCAGGGGCCAAGCGCTGTTCAAGAAATCGAACCAATGAAAAGTGAAGGTTTCACCGCAACATGGGAAACCCATGGAAATTCTCTGCGGGCCCCTATTCCACTTGGGCATTCTGAAATTCAGCA